GAATCCGCATCCGGACTTTAGGCTGTGGATAACCACAGATCCCTCACCGGCATTCCCCATTGGTATACTGCAGAAGTCCCTAAAGGGTGAGAGATCAAGCCATTTGTCAGCGTTCCTGATGCTATAAGATGTTTGTCTCCTCTGCAGTTGTCACTGAACCACCCAATGGCCTGAAGCTGAATCTTCGCTCTACGTACTTTAAAGTGCGTCAGGAGCGACTCGAGAGCTGCTCCCATCGGGGATTCCGTCCCCTGGTCTATGTCCTGGCCTTCTTCCATGCCGTCGTCCAAGTAAGTGAACCAATAGATACTCCAATTTATTGTCCAGGGCGCAGTTGGTCCGTTGAGTTGAGTGTGCTCTTCAGTTGTTTATTTATTAATTTCTTAATTTTGAGTAGCTGAAAGCTTTTCAGACCCAACTGCACCGAAACTGGTTCTCAATTGATGGAGCAGCAATTGCACTCGCAGTCGTCGTTGCCTGCAGCAAATTGTTATTGATCGCTCTGTGACGATGCGGGGGAGGGGCCCTGCAATTAATCTATATACTCGTAACCGTTCCGTTCTTCACTTCCGCAGGAGCGTCGAAAATACGACAAACTTGGCTGGAACATAGCGTACGACTTCAATGATTCAGACTTTGAGGTCTGCACCGAAATCCTGCGCACCTACCTGAGTCGCTGTGCCGACGATAAGATACCCTGGAACAGTCTCAAGTATCTCATTGGCGAGGTCATGTATGGGGGTCGCGTTATTGACGATTTCGATCGGCGCATCACCAACTGCTATATGGGGGAGTATATGGGCGACTTTCTGTTTGACGAATTCCAAGTGTTCCACTTCTATGAGGATGAACACGTGGACTATTGCCTGCCCGAAGATGAGACCATACTGAAGGAGGACTATATAGGTGAGTGACGAGACAGAGGGTTCGGGTCGGTGGACCCAATGCCAGAAGCTATTTACATATGTAATGCATTGATAACAGCGCACATCGACAAACTGCCGTTGGTCAATAAGCCGGATGTGTTTGGTTTGCATCCGAACGCGGAAATCGGTTATTACACAATGGCGGCACGCAACATTTGGAACAGTTTGATTGAGCTGCAGCCGCAGACTGGTGAGTAGTGGCACACGACCAATCGAATCGAATCGAAGCGAATCGAATATGTATCCCATTTAGCCGCATTGAAGGCATATCTCTGTGGTCTAGCTCTGGGGGAATACCCGTGCATTGATAATTTGATCAGTGCTCGGGTGTGGGTGAAAAAATGATAATAATGTAATATAGATATGCGTTTACGTATGGCCGGGGCCAGGGCAGGACAGTGCAGAGCAGGCCAGGGCCCTGGTAAATGGTTCAATTTGCATGCAACGTGTGCCAATTGTCAGCCGTTTATTACATTTTATCTTGTTGTTGATTTTTATTCGCATGCCGTTGCCGTTGCCGCTGACGCTGCCGCGTGCCCTGGCTTTGCTCTGCAATGTTGTATTTTTGGCATGCTGAATTTTTAATTTAATTTAATTAATTAGTTGCGGTTTTGCAATTAACTTTATTGCATGCGCCATTATTGCAAGCACACAACAGCAATGCACACATTAAAAATTAAAATAGATGCACACACAATCGCAGACATGCCCTCCGACACATTCAGGACACACACACATACACACACACACGATGGGTCAGATTGGAGGGCAGGACAGCGGACACACATCCACTCACTTTCATTCAGTGCCCACAAATCGCAGCGAATCGAGTTCAAACCTCACCGCACCGACCGCCATCAGAAGCACCAAAAAATGGCGAAAACGTCACGCAAAAGTCGATAATTTTTGCGTTGCGAGCTTAAACGTGTTAAAACCGCCATCAGAGTGCACTTTTACCAGTGCACACCACACCCCACCCCACCCACACATGCGTTTATTTGCTACCCTGCACAGACATACACACAATGCACATGCACCAACTCATGCATATATGTATGGACCTGTAAATAACTGTATATACAATTTCGAAAACTCTTTTAAATATATTCGCACACACGAAGTGACCAAGTGGACACCCAGCGAAGTCAATGCCGGTAAAGTATTCCGCGTAAACAACAGACCCCAACCCCCAACCCGCCACCCACAAGTCGAATGAATTCCTTACTCACCCAGCCCATCCACCGCCACTGAAGTTTAAATAAAAATAATAATAATAAGGGCAAATATTTTCACTGATTAAAAATCGAGTTGAACAATTTTATTTCAATTCGCGGAGATATGGCCAAGTACCAATGGACCCAATGCTGTTCGGCCACTGCGAATTTTAAAAGTGCTACAAATAATTGCGATGGAAATACTTATCTATAGATATGTAGATACAAATCAGCGAAAGCCTATTGACAAGCAATAGATGGGAACCCATTTCAATCGCATTTAGGAAAGATTCCCGGACATATCAAACAATTAACAGATAAATTATAGATTCGGTCTGCAACCCCCGTAAAACCCTAATTAATAAAACATAGCTGCAAACTCAGTTTAGTCCCATTTAAAAGAAGCTTCGAATATCCCAAAAAACTTCATAGAAAAGGTCATTTTTCCAAGTCGAAAACTCAGTTCAGATTCATTTGATGTGCCTTCGCCTCGCCAATACGCTCGATATTCCATCGAGTAGCTCACAGAAAAATGGCCATAATTTGCATATTCATGAGCTTTAGTATTTGCTAATTGACACTTTAACAAAAAATAAAGCAGAGCATAAAAAACGTTCTATCGGGGTGCCAACACAAGCCAGATAAAAAGGAAAATTAATAAAATACTCGTCCGAAAAAAATACCAATACAGAAAGCATAAGATAAATGTACATAAAAAAGGAAAACGGAAAAACCACAGCCTCTGCATACATTACAAAGGTTTTTTCTCGCCCTTCTCCTGCCACTTTACTCTACCACTGCCACAATCCTTACTTACTCCTCTCTCTCTTTTGGCTGTCTTGGTCGTCTCTGTTTCTGTGTTTGCCCCATGCAGGCGAGGGTTCGGGCGGCATCAGCCGTGACGACTTCATCGACATGGTGGCCGCCGGGATACTGAAGAAACTGCCACCGGCCTTTGAGACGTGGCGCATTCGCAAACAGATCCAAATGAGTCTCTCCCCCACCGGTGTGGTCCTGCTGCAGGAGCTGGATCGCTTTAATCTGCTGGTGATTCGCATCAAGAAAACGCTGGAGCTGCTCCGCAAGGTAACTACTATTAAGAGATTGTCTTTCCGGCTCTGGCTCTGGTTCTGGTTCTGGCCAAAACTGTCAATAGACGCCACACATAAATCCTTCAGGCTTGTTTTGTTGTGCATTCTGTTTATGCATTTGCCATTTGCCAACTTGGCTAAGGACCAAGCAAACGACAGATCCTAAGCCATGGCTGCATTGTGCTGCCAAAATAAATTTACAAATGCAAATGAACTCGAGCCCGAGTCACGCCCACACATGTGCCGCTGTGTGTGCCATTGTGAGCCGCTTTTTAATTTAATTGCATGCTCTCCGCAGGCCATTGCTGGTGAAATCGGCATGGACAATGTGCTGGACAACATTGCCAACTCGTTGTTCAATGGCCTGCTGCCAACATCCTGGAGCTCCCTGGCGCCGGCCACATGCAAACAGTTGGCCAGCTGGCTAGAACACTTGCGGGTGAGTCCTCCAATGCTCCTCCGTTCCATAGTCGTGACATTCGCTGTAGCGTAGCTCATTAATCAGCTTAGCGCTGAATCAATCAAGTTCCTGGTTCGTGTCCACTAATCAGCTCTTTCTCTCTCTCTGCAGCAACGGTCCGTCCAGTACAAGTATTGGTCGATATCGGGCGAGCCCTTGGTCATGTGGCTGTCTGGGCTCCACATCCCGCAGAGCTATCTGACGGCCCTGGTGCAGGTGAGTCGGGGGTCATGGACAATGAACGAACGCACTCGTATTTCTATCGCCTTTGCAGATTGCCTGTCGCAAAAACGCCTGGCCATTGGATCGCTCGACGCTCTTTACCTATGTTACCCAGTATGCAGACCCCGACGACGTCGAGGAGCGTCCCGCAACGGTAAGTGGCATCTACCACCTCTTTTTCTATCTATCCATCTATCGCTCTAAATGCAAAACGATGACCAAACTGTCCGGTGCCACTGCCGGTGCCAGTGCCAGTGCCGCTGCCTGTGTCCCTATGCTGGTTCTGGTTCCGGTCCGAGAGAGGGCACTAATTCCGTAATTAAGAATTCTGTTTGCATTTTAATCGTTGAACTTTTTGCAGGGCTGCTTTGTGCATGGGTTGTACATCGAGGGCGCACGCTTTGACATGTCGACTAATCAGCTGGCGCGTTCCCATCCCAAGGTTCTGGTCGAGGAGCTGGCCATTTTGGCTGTGGAACCCATCGAGGCGCATCGTCTCAAGCTACAGGTCTGTATCGTACGGTTAAGGAGATGGTGGGTGGGTGGTTAGCCGGATAGCTGGATAGCCGGATAGTTGCCTGGAGATCCTGGGTTCGACGCCGTCTGCCAGTGACAAGTACTAATGTGCGCTTGTATCTACATACACATGCCTGGGCGAGGGACGGGACGGCACCCTGGGCGTTTCCACGCTGATATTTGTTTAAATGCATCCCACTAAATTAGCAGCAGCTTCCGTTTCCACCCCGACTAATGGGGCATCTGCTGTGCTAATTGTTTCTGATTTTAAATGCCCGGAAGCTTTACTTTTAGCCGGGGATGAAAAATGTATTTTAAAGATGGGAGTTTTACTAGAACTTTCGTTGATACTGAACTATGTTTTCCCTTATTTTACAGAACACATTCCTGGCTCCTGTTTATACCACATCCATGCGCAGAAATGCTATGGGCGTGGGCCTGGTCTTTGAGGCCAATTTGGCCACCTCCGAGGATTTGAGTCACTGGATATTGCAGGGCGTATGCCTCACCCTGAACACGGATCTTTAAGAGAGCTTTGTATATAGATAGGATTTAGATACAGATTGAAAGACTGATGTTGGATTTTGTTGATATTGATTATTATTTATCGAATCATTTATACTATTGCCAAATAAATCTATGTTTACAGCTCTGTAGCAATGGCAATGGAGTTTATCAAGTAGTATATACTCGTACGCGTATAGTATTTCTAGTGCCTGTGCCTGTCAATAACGTGATTTGTGCCTGACTGATAACCGACTGATATGCCGCTGCTCCTGGCATTACCTTCGCCGCCAGCAGCCGAAGCAGTTCCTAAACTTATCCAAAATAGTCGTCTTCATGGAGGGCAACAGGAGCTCGAGATTCTGCGTACCGGCACTGTCGTCCGACTCCAGATCCGAGTCAATGGTCATTTCCTGTATGCTAAAAGTATCGGTTAGTTCGTGGTTCGCCTGCTGGCGACGCTTGGCCCGCTTCAGTTGGGCGGGAAAGAAGGATATCTCCTCGGCGTCGTCGCTGCTCTCAGACTTGTAATCGACCAGCGGCTTGTGCTCCGGCTCCCCGGGAATGGGCAATCGATTGATCGGGATCAGAGTGGACGACTGTGTCTTGGTTGTCTGGGGTATACAAGCACACTGCTATAGATATACATATATAGCTTTATATGTTTAATGTGCTGGTGCACCCACCTGCTCTTCCTGGAACTGCGTGTAATTGCGCCTGGCACGCTCGACCTTCAGCTCCAGTTTGCGTTGCAGTATGCGGCAGGTGTTTGGTGGCTCGCTGCGCTCATGTCCGCCACGTGCCTCCTCCTCCTCATCGATTTCTATGGTCGTGGGGGCATACACCTTGCCGGCACCCCTGAACGCCACCTCGAACTCCAGATCGGACATATGTTTGGGCGCTCCGCTGGCCGTTTTCTGCAGTGACTTTGGCCATGAGAATTTGCATTGTTTCGAGTTCGCTACTTACCAGCAGGCCTGAGGCCCCATCCTCATAGATATTCGACTGCCTATCCTCGCTATCTATGCCGCTATCTTCCATTTTGTGCTGGGAATTGGTTTAACTCTGGATAAATCTACAATTTAGCTACAAAAAAGAACCGCACGCGATGTCAATACAAACAATTTTTATTGTCTTCTTCAATGGTACTCCCAAACCAACTCCAATCAACCCCATGGCGGTGGCAGAGCGCAGGCTCCGTCGAACAGCTGCTGGGGCGGAAAAGGTTGGGAAAAATCAATACGATACCAAACCCCTTGCCACACAGCGTTGCCAGATGTTGGGACACTTTCAAATGGTATTCGTGCAGCCCCCCTTTATGGAGTTTATAGAGGAATGCACTTTTTTATACATATGCACTCTTTATTATGTAGTTTTAATTTATTTACAATTATTTGTTTTAGGCTTAAATGCTTTACTCGTTGCACAAATAGATCGTAGATGCTAAGAAAGTAAAATGAAAATTCGTTTTAGCCGCTTTCCTCGATGGATTGAATTGTAACGTTATTCAAGAATAAATAGGAACACAAACATAAAAAACACTAATACTATTTGAATTTGTTCTGGAAGTAGGCAGATATTTAATCGTATATACTAAATTAAATGTTCTTTTCGTTCGTTCTTGATCTGTCAGGCTAAGGCTATGGCTATATACGAGTAGGTGTTGGCTTTTTGGTCTCTCTGCTTTTGAAGTGGCCGCCCCGCCCACTTCGTTTCGGGGGTGGGTGGGGTGCCCTGAGGATGCTAATTATTCTTGTGTCGGTGTGCTTAAACTCAATTCAAAAATTCTGCTTCTCTTGTGTGCGTAGTGCGTGGAATTACAGCGCATTGGGATGGGGCTGCGCAATTTGGCCGGCCAGCGTGCAGGATCTACAGCAGAACTGGGCATAGTACTGGTTGATGCAGTACCTTCCCTTTACGATTAGCTTGCAGTTGGCAAAGAACGGATTGTCAATGCACTCGGGCGATACAGGTATGACAGCTAGAAGGACACATAAACGGGAATGTGAATTACCAAACCATGGATCTTGATTCTTGACTTACATTGGATGGTGACCGTCTCCTGGCTGACGCTGTAGCTGAATGCATTACTAGCCTTGCAGCCGTATATGCCTGTATCCTCGGTGCTCACATCGCTGACAACCAGTCGATGGGGCTGGGCTGTAGTCGTCAAAGAGTATTCGATATCAAAAAGTGTTCTTAAGGAAGTTCTGACTCTACTCACATGTAATCTGTATGCGCTCGTTGCTGTACAGCGGTGTGTTGTCCTTGGTCCATGTCACATTTGGTTCTGGATAACCCTGCACCGAGCAGCTAATGGCGATGGTGGAGCCTGGAGAGTAGCTGTTCTTAGGATCCAGTGCCACCAGAGCCTGGGCATTCACTAAGAGCAGAACAAGGGGAGAAACCAATTACTACAAGTCCCCGAACATCAACGGGATTTCGAACATAAAACAGTCAAGAAACACGTAAAATCCAAGGCAATCCAAAACATGCAAATCCACTTACCTGTCGGCGGCGGCACATAGACCGGACGAGATGGTCTATAGGGGTAGCTGGGTCTCTGTGTGACCGGCGCCGTGGCCGGATCTATCACATACTGCAAGTACTGGGCATCCTCGTTGGTCAGGGCCCGAGCGGGACCCACCGCCTTCAGCGTGACACGCAGCGAGACGGGGCGTCCCCGCTTGTTGTACACCTCGCAGGTGTACAGACCCAGATCCGACAGCTGGATGGAGCGGAACAGCAGCGAGAAGTCGCGTGCCATCTCAGCCCGTCCACGCTCCCGGTTGCCGAACAGATTGTTGTTGCGCCACCAGCTAACGTGCGGCTGCGGATAGCCACCGGCTGGGCAGCGAATCACCGCCGGTCTGTTCAACTGCACGATCTGAGTAATGTTCTTGTTGCCGTACACGTATGCGGCGGTGTCAACGGGTTCTACCATCACCAAGTCGTCGACAAGCAAAGGGATTAGAAGCAAGCAGGCATGCACACAGAATGCAGTAAAAAGCAGTTAGTTATAAGGCCAACACCAAACACGAAAAATACAAGAAAAACCAATAAGAACTCCACAGTCGATGATCCGACTGTAATTAATACCCATTGCTCAGATTTCTTAGAATGCAAGAAAATGCGATGATGAAAATTTGATTCATTTCTGGCTGCAGCGATAATTAGTCATAATTATTCAATTTTCGTATTTTTAAGGCGGTACATTCTTTGAATATTCAACAGGTTATAGTTTAAAGATCAAAGGCCATGTGTTCAAACTCGTACAAAACGGACAAAAAGGAAATAAAGTACGCGAATACTATTTTGTGAGTAATATTTGTTCGAGTAATCACAAGCATCGTTTATAAACAGATTCTTCGAATAAGCCGAATCTCAAATTTCCCTTCACAAAGATCGACAATAATTATACATTCCATGCATGAGATGCAAGATCCCTTTAGAAGGAAATGAAATGCCTTAACATAGAAAAGTCAGCACGTACCTGTCACTTGGAGGGCAACCTCGCGTCGCACGGGCTCGCCCAGGCCATTGCTGGCCACACAGACATAAGTGCCATCGTCGGTTTGACGCACTTGCACGATGGTCAGATCACCAGTCGAGGTCAAGACATAGCGTCCTTGGTTCGTATCGATCTGTAGAGGATTTTGAACAAAAACTAAAGTGTCTGAAGAGTGAGTTCTGTGTTTGAAGTCGTACCACCACGTTCTTGAGCGACCAGGTGATGTTGGGGGCTGGATTGCCAGTGGCGAAGCATCGCAGGACGGCGATGCCACCGATGGAGGTCTGGACATCCAGTTCCTGCGGCTGCTTGGGCTCTAGAGCGGCCCTGCTCTCGCCCGGATAGACGACAGTTGGGGCACGAGTGCTGGGCCGCTGGGTGGGGCGGGCTGGCTGCACACAGAGATAGCCACAGCCATCGCTGCAGCACTTGTTCTCGCCACGGCAGTCAGCATCGGTGTAGCACTCCTGGGCACAGTTGCTGGCATTGGCCGCCAGTCCGGGGCAGACTCCGGGCTTGTTAATGTCGCGGCAGACAGGCGCAAACTGACGATCTCCCGTGTTGGCAATCTCAATGGCACACTGCTGACCCTCGGGGCAGGAGTAGCTCTCGCAAGGGTTCTCGCACAGGCACTTCGTGCACTCCGGCTGGGATCGGTCGGCCTCACGGCGAACGCCATAAGGACAGCGCAGTTCGCGGCACTCGTTCTCGAAGCTCTCGCAGCGACCCTGTCCAATTTCGTTGTCAATCTCGTTGTCAACGGGCCCTGTGGGGAACGGAACGTAAAGGATCAGCCTTGTGTAGACCAACATTCTGAAGATATCCCAAAAGACCCGTGCAATCTTAGAGCTAGTGAAAGTGCACTACTAATCAAGACTACTAATGCTACTTCTAATAGTTCTACTAAAAATCAAGCAGATTGAAGGTGGGCAGAGTGCAAGGTGCGAAATTGGATGCATTTGGAGGGTGGTGGTGTTCTGGGGTGCAGAGTGGAGTGCATTTAGCTGGTGTGCAGGCTTACTTCCGCAGAGATTCGTGCATGCCTCAAACGAACGGAAGTTGTTCTGATTGCCGGAGCAACCCGAGTAGATGAAGGACACACAGGTGCCGCGCTCATCATCGTAATACCAACGACGCTCCTGCACCGCCGGTCCATTGCATCGGCCGGTTACCAGGGGCAGCAAACATATCTCTACTTACGCCATCGGGGGAGGGGGGAAAACCAAGAGAATTTGTTAACCGATTGTCCCTTTGGGCGCACGTCACTCATCAAAACGTTACCTTTGACCGTACCCACTGAAGGCTCCGGCTCGCGGGCCGCAATGCAAACAGTTTGACACTCGTACAGATCACCGAAGCGATTTCCGGTTCCATCGCATCCACCGTAGGTGAACGGCTCGCAGGTACGGGAATCGCGATTGAAATAGTAGCGGGTCTGCCACTGAGTGCAGGGCCCCGTGGTCACTGGCTCATTGCAAACGTCTAACGCAAAGTATTAAAGCACCTGAAAGATGAGGTTCCCTATCCATACACTTACCCACTCCCTTGAACTCGCCGCACTGCCTCTCGCACTGGTCGCGCGTCTCGAAGCGATTTCCGTTTCCGCCACAGCCGCTGTAGGAGAAGGCCGTGCAGGCCATCTTCTCGCTGTCGTAGAACCAAGCCGTGGTATGATTATCGCACTCTCCGGCCTCCGGTGCCTGAGTGCACACGGAGTAGGTCTACATGAAAGAGAAATGTTTATTTTTTGAGACTGTCAGTAGTCTGATAAAGAACTTACCGGTGCTGGTGGTTGGGGCTCGGATAGTGCCTGATCCCGGCAATAGCCCAGACATTCCCTCTCGGAAACGAAGTTATTGCGATTGCCGCGGCAGCCGGTAAACTCGAACTCGTGACAGGCGCCACTTCGTTCGTCGAAGTACCAGCGACGAGAGATGTCATCGCAGCGACCGCGCACCGGTGGCAGGGAGCAGGTGGTCTGGGCATCATTGCACTCGTTTTGGCACTCCTCCTCGGTGGCATAGCTGTTGGCATTGCCGCCGCAGCCCGAGTAGACGAACTCGTCGCAGAGTCCCTCCTGGCTGTTGTAGAACCAGCGGGTCTCGTTGTCGTAGCAGTTGCCCGATTCGGCGGGTAGGAAGCACTTGGCCGTATCCGGCTCTGAGCGGGGCTCCTCGGGTTCTGGCTCTGGTTCTCCGAAACGATTGTCTACGCTGGGAGCGCAGCGAGCCGAGCAATCCTGCTCAGACTCGAAGCGGTTATCGTTTCCGCCGCAGCCGCCATAGTAGAACTGCTGGCAGCGACCGGCAGTCGCGTTAAAGTTCCACTTGAGCACATACTGATCGCAGTCGCCCGCGGCAGCTGGCTGATCACACTGGTGGACAGCAGCAGATTGAGGAGGCTCCCTAGTCTCTGGCGGAGCAGTTCGCCTAGTCTCTGGTGGTGGAGCCTGGGGGCTGACACAGCGCGCCTGGCAGTCGGACTCAGTCTCAAAGCGATTGCCGTTGCCAGCACAGCCGCCATAGTAGAACTGGCGACACGCGCCGCTCTCTCCGTCAAAGTGCCACTTGAGGGTGTACTGATCGCAGTCTCCGACGCTCGCGGGCTCGCGACACACATCCACGGTGCTGGGGGCTGGGGCTGGTGGTGGCGTTGGGGGTTCGGGCTTCTTCTCGCAGCGCGCCAGGCAGGCATCCTCGCTGGCAAAGCGATTCTCGTTGCCGCCGCAGCCGCCGTAGTAGAACTGGCGACAGCTCTCATCCTTGGTGTCGTAGTACCAGGCGGTGACATAGTTGGCGCATTCTCCCACCTCCGCGGGGATCTCGCAGATGTCCTTGGCTAAGTCACACACATAGAGGAGGAGAGTGTGTTAATCGAACGTATGTTCTGGCGAGGCTTCGGTGCACACATTGAAAGCAGCCACAACAACATTTAAAGCTTACCAACTTGCCGGGGACAATGGTCCTCGCAGGACTCCAATGAGGGGAAGCTGTTCTTGTTGCCACCACAACCAGTGTAGTAGAAGGGCACGCAGCGCTTCTCGCTCTCGGAGAAGTGCCACCTGGCGTGCCGTTCGCTGCAATCACCAGTTTGCTTAGGAAGTGAGCATTGCTCTGAGGTTTTGGTGGTGTTGGTGGTGGTGGGTCATAGGTGGTAGGTGGTAGGTGCAGGAAGGATGCAGGTGTAGATTCAGGATACGGAACGGGTGTTCGGATACGGGTATTCGACATAGCAAGTAACCAAGCAAGCAATCATGCGCATACAATAAACCAAGTTCAAGCAATAGGAGGAAAAGGAGATTGTAGGAAGAACATACCGTTAACCAGGATAGAGAATCAGGCTTAAGCTTAAGACTAACAATAACCCCAAGCAACACATTGCCGGTAACTCCCCAATAGTACAGAACAGGTAAAACGAAAGATGGAAATAGATCAGATCCCAAACCTTTGAGTACGCCCGGCTGGCGACAACTGTAGCTGCAGGCGTGCTCCGTCGGATAGTTGTTCTTGTTGCCCTTGCAACCGCCGTAGGTGAAGGGACGACAGATGTCGGTCTGGTTGTCGTAGTACCAACGCTCATAGTTTCCGGCACAAGGTCCATTCTCCACAGGCTGTTCGCAGGTGGCTGCAGGCGGAAACAGAAGTTTAGTTTAGATTGGAGGACACAGCCACACCGTCAGACAGTTGGACAGTTCGACTTACGGATACTCTCACTGACAGCACATGTGCCCTGGCACTGTTCGAGGCTATCGAATCGGTTATTGGTGCCGTAGCAGCCGCCGTACTGGAACTCCTCGCACCGGTTGCGGTCGGTGTCGAAGTACCACTTCTTGGTGAAGCCCTGGCACGGTCCGACGCTCTTGGGCAGCAGGCACACATGTTGTCCGGTGTACTCCTGGCAGGTGTCCTTGCACTCCGCCTCCGTCTCGAAGCGATTGGCATTACCATCGCAGCCGCCATACCAGAACCGAGCGCATCCGCCGTAGTTGGTATCGAAGTAGTATTTGACGCTGAAGTTGCCACAGGTGCCCGTCTCTTTGGGCAGGGCGCAGGCCTTCTGCGGTGGCTCCTGGACATTCTCGCAGCCGCCGAACTTCTCGTCCGTGGCACTGCTGATGCCATCGGGACAGCAGCCAAACTTGCTCTCCACACACGTGCATCCTTCGAAGTTGGGACCCTTGGCCGGTGTCTTGTCGTCCTCGCAGCACTTGAACTCCGTCTGGGTGCAGTGGCAGCCGTGGTGGTGGGGTCCCTTGGCGAATGTGAGTCCGTCTGGGCAGCAGCCGAACTGCGTGGTCTCGCAGGGGCAGCCGTCGAACTTGGGTCCCTTGGCGGCCGTGATCTTGTCGGGACAGCAGCCGTGCTGAGTGGTCTCGCAGGCACATCCCTCCTGGTTGTATCCACGGGCGGCAGTCTTCTTGTCCGCACAGCAGCCGTAAGGAGTGTAGTGGCAGTCGCAGCCCTCGAAGTTGGGTCCTCGGGCAGCCAGAATATTGTCGGGGCAGCAGCCGAAGGACGTGTCCAGGCAGCAGCCCTCGCCGTTGGGTCCATGAGCCGGTGTCTCAGAGTCGGGACAGCAGCCGAACTGTTCGCGAGTGCAGGCCGCGCAGCCCTCACCTCCAGGACCAGCGGCTGGTGTGCGACCATCCGGACAACATCCATGCTCGGACTGATCGCAGCCCTTTGGTCCATCTGCTGGTGCGGCACAGCCTTCGAAGTTCTTGCCCTTCGCCGGGGTCTTGGCATCCGGACAGCAGCCAAACTCGGCAAAGGAGCAGGACTTGCTCTCAAGTTCGGGTGCCTGAGTGGAGTCTCCACCGGATCCCTCGATTTCGGTGGTGGATTCTGGCAGTGACTCTTCCGTGGTTGTGGTGGGTGGCACGGTGGTTGTCTCGGGACATCCCTCGTTATCCTCGCCCTCGGCGGCGGTGAATTTGTCGGGACAGCACCCGAAGAGAGTCTCGGCGCACTGGGATTTGGGACAACCCTTGTTGTTCTTGCCCTCGGCCGGGGATACTCCGTCCAAGCAGCAACCGTATTTGGTGTCAGCGCAAGTCTTGGGAATGGGACAGCCCTCATCGAAAGGTCCCTTGGGCGTGGTCTTGCCATCTGGACAGCAACCGTACTTGGACTTGACGCAGTCGCTCTTCTTGGGCTTGCACTTGCGGGGCTTGTCCTTGGTGATGGCCGACTCCCAGGTGTTCGGAGTGCTTGACTCTTCCTCATTGTCAGTGGAGCTCCAGATGTCGCTGGTACCACTGCCGAGCTCCGTGGACTGGGAGCTGTCAGTAGATCCCTCAGTGGTGCTATCGGTGGATCCTTCGGAGGTACTCTCCTCGGTCGGGCCACTCTCAGTGGTGTCAGTGGTGCCTCCGCTTTCTGTAGACTCAGAAGCATCGGTAGATTCCGAGGATCCCGAATCTGTGGATTCGGTGGATTCGGATTGATCTGTTGATCCAGAAACGTCAGTGGATGATGATGAATCTGTGGAAGTCGATTCCGTGGCATCTGATGAGCTTGTGGAACTAGATACATCCTCAACAGTGCTTCCCTCTGTGGTTGAGCCTTCGCTTGATCCAGCCTCAGTGCTTTCTGTTGAGCCAGTGCTCGCTGCCTCTGTCGATTCCGTGGACAAGGTTGATTCGGGAGATTCGGTGGATCCATCGGTGGAGCTGACATCAGTGGAACCTTCAACAGTGCTTCCGCCCTCAGTCGTCGATCCGTCGCTGGACAACTCAGTCGTTTCAGTGCTGTCCGAGCCGGAAGAGGAGGAGGAAGGTGTGGTATCGGTAGAGTCTGATGAGCTGTTATCTGATGAACTCTCGCTTGAAGCTCCACTGGTCGAAGAAGCATCGGTGCTGGATGAAGCATCACTCGTGGAGGAAGAATCGGTGGTTGAAGATGCATCCAGGGTTGAGGACTCAGTTGTGTCGGTCGAGGTCTCGGGTGTAGTTTCCGTGGTTTCTTCGGAAGTGGATTCAGTCGATGCAGAAGAATCAGTCGAAGACGAAGTGCCATCACTGGTACTGTCAGAGGGGCTCTCCGTTGAGCTGGAAACGTCGGTGGAGTCGGTAGAACCTTCAGTAGTGTCGCTGGAATCAGACGCCGATGACGAAGCCGCATCAGTGGATGATTCGCTGGTATCAGATGTCTTGTCAGAGGAGTCTGAAGATTCGCTGGATGAGTCCGTTGAGCTAGAAGCCTCTGTGGAGTCTGAAGTATCTGTGGAGCCTGAAACATCCGTCGAGGCGGGCACATCCGTAGAGCTGGAAGAATCTGTAGATTCAGAGGTATCCACTGAGCTGGACGATTCAGTGGCGCTCGATGCGTCTGTCGAGCCACCAGAAACATCAGTGGATTGATCGGTAGATTCACTAGAATCGGAGACTGATGATGCGGGGGCATCGGATGTGGCATCGCTTGATTCGCTGGAGCTCGACGCATCTGTGGAGCCGGACACGTCTGTTGACGCATCTGAAGATGATTCAGATGTTTCCTCATCGTCTCCGCTTCCTTCAGTCGAAATACCGCTGTCCGTCGTGGACTCATCATCTCCTGATCCCTCAACCGTAGTGCCAGTCGAGGCAGACTCATCGAATGCAGTCGTATCGGGGCTATCGCTTAGCATCAGTTCTTCGGTGAAGAGCGTGGACTCCGTCTTGGCTTCATCGTCGAGATCGACACCGTCGGAAATCTTCTGATCGCCTGGCAGACTATCTGTGACCAATTCCATGTCATCCTCATCGCAGTCGTCCTCTTCATCATCCTCAATGGGTTTGTCGGTGCTTGTCAGGGGCAGGATTTCATCTTCAGTGCAGGCCTCGGAATTGCACTTCTCGGATATGGATTCCAGCTTGGATTCGTCGCAGTTCAGGGCCTTGGTGCCATTGGCAAGGCACAATACCTCGCGAGTACGTTCACCTCCGCCGCAGGGCTTGCTACACTCGCCCCAAGGTCCAGTGAACCATTCTCCAGGGCACTCCTTCTCCTCGCCCTCGCATTCTTGCTCCAACTCCGGTTTCGTTTCCTTGTTGCACTTAGTGTCGTCGGTGGCTGGGGTCACGGTTTTGCCATCGAACTCTCCGCAGATGACGATGCGAGACTGAACCCCCTTGCCGCAGGCGGAGGAGCACTTGCTCCACTCTGATGAGAACCACTGGGCCTCGCATTTGGGCGATTTGCAGGGTCTGGACAGAGAAGGTACCTCTGGTTGACAAAACTCCTCTGGGTATTCTTTGCCATCCTTTGACCCACAAATAGCGGTGCGGGTCTCCGTGTTCTGTCCGCAAGCATTGCACTGAAAGATGATGCCACATTAGTGGGGATCTAGGAAAAATGTCTCTCTAATACTTACTCCACTCCATTGGGAGATAATCCAGTCAACACCCTCGCAAGGGGTCAGAAGGCAGGTCTTCTCCACCTCTGGCTTATCCTCCACACAGTCCTCGTCGGGGAGGACACGCTTCTTTCCGTTCTCCTTGATGAAGCAGGTGGCCTTGCGGGTCTGCTTGCCCTCGCCGCACAATTTGTCGCAGGGTGTCCAGGGACCCAAGTGGTACTTCGGGCAGTTCTTGACATCCCGATTACATTCCTGGGCAGTGGCAGGCTTGTTGCCAACCTCCTTCAGGCACACTGCATCGTCCTCAACCGTATGTTCGCTAAAAGATAAATCTCTATTAGGATTGATCCTTCGGTTAATGATCAGCTGAGTCTTACCCATCGGAGGAGATTCGTTCGCAGGTGACGGTACGATTTTGAAAGCCATCAGAGCCGCAGCCCTTGGAGCACTTGCTCCACTCGCCCTCCACCCAGTGTGGGGCACAAGGCTCTGTGCCGCAGGCCTGCTCTTCAGCGGGCTTGGATTCCTTCTCGCAGAGAGCCGCATCGACCTCCTGGAGGTTGACGCGGTTGTTGCACGTGATCTTGCGCGACTGAGTGCCGCCACCGCAGGAGGCGCTGCACGGACCGAACTCGCGATGCGTCCACGTGTGGGTGTCCGGCTGGCTGTGGCTCAGGGACTCGGGAATGCTGTACTCGTAGTCGATGCTCACGTTCTTCTCCTGCACCAGCATCACGATGAAGATGCTCTCGGAGATGGGGCCGGGGCAGGTCAACTGATCGGGGGCGGCAAATCCCATGGGCTTGCGCTGGTAGTTCCACCACGAATCCGCATAGAACATGGGGCGGGGGAAGTCGATGCGCCAGTTGCCATTCAGATGGTAGTGGCCCGACAGGTTGCGGCAGGCCAGATAGTTGTTCGACGGCGCAGTTTCCAGGATTTTAATGTTGGTGGCGCCCTGGGGCACGAGCAACAGATCGTTGTAGCCGGGGGCCAGATCACTGGAACTGTAGGTATTGTGGATGGTCTTGCAGGTGCTGCCGTCGCCGCCGCACTTGCGGCACTTGTCCTCCTTGGCATCGCTGCCCAGCATCATGTCGCAGCCCACGGGCATGCACTGTCCGTTGACGCACACGTCGTTGTCCTTGTCGTTGCAACGGGTGCCGTCGACGACCTTCTCCTTCTGGCGATAGTAGAAGCGCTCGCCCTTGGGCATGCAGTTCAGCTCGCACGGATTCGGGGCACCCAAGTAGGGCACCCACTCATACATGACTCCGTCGAACCTCTGGTCGTCGAAGCGCGAGCACTGCAGGGCCCTGAAGTCGGGATCCTCCTCCGGACAGTCCTGCGTGTTGCACGAATAGTAGCGACGATTGCCGCCGCTGCACTCTGCCTCGCCATTGTAGCTGATGGATTAGGGACTAGCTCGGAAAAGGGATTCTATAGGATCTGCGGGGCTTTCTACTCACTCTCGGCGCAGGCATTCGCGCGTCTGGTAGGACACACCGCCTCCACATGTTCGGGAGCAGTCCGACGGCGAGCTCCATTCCGTCCACTCATTGGGATCGTCGCCCTCTCCGCCGGGCGTCACGGAACTCTCCGGCAAATACATATTCGCGCCATATTGTCTTTTTTGTCTCAGTCCGGGCTGTGAATGGGGCGTTCAGTGAATGGGATCAGGGAAAGACCTTTAGGGAATCGTTGGGGCTATACTTACAAATCTACTCTGGGAGTCGGGTATGCCAGCCAGTACAATGAATGCTATCAAGGCAGTTGTACTGAAATGAGCAAAGTGGAAATCGATTTAATTAAACGCCACTCAAAGACATAACCTCGCCCAATAACAGAGAGCCAATACTAGGTTCCATTCATTAAACCCAACGACACTGCGTCACGTGTTGACTTGTTGCAAATATTTGTTGACTTTGCCGCATGCTTGGACATCTACAGACTCATTAAAGAAGAAGCAACAGGCGGAAAGGGATTGTGGACAGTGGACTGTGTGGACTGTGGGTTGGGGACTTTCTCAAAGGGAGACCACACCACACCACACCAGGCCGGAGCACGTCCAGCGAAGGGGCACAAATAAACTTTTGTGGGGCTTCGGCTTCCCAGCGACAAAAGGCAACATGATGAACTTGTTTATGCTCTCTCTGGCCAGAGCAAGCAAACATTGAACTTGTTTTTGCCACAAAAATGCAGAAGAGTGTGGGGTGCGAGTGTAGTCAGCAGGTCACTGGATAGCGGGGGGTTGGCAGGGGTAAGGGGGAACAGAATATCGCAAGACTTGGTCAAGTAAAATTTGCAATTTCTTCGGTAACAATTTTTTATTATGCGCCGGGGCGACCATAAATATGCAATGCCACATAAACAAGACATAATTTAGCAGCACTTCCTGCCGATTTGCCAAAAAAAAGCAAATACGAAAAATGGAGGAGCAGGAAAGCAGAGGAAAGGAAAAGAACAGGCAAATAATAAGTACCACGCCGGAGAATATATGATTATGCCGCAGACAGGGTGACGCCGCAGCAGCAGCAGCAGAGGCAGCCGCAGTGGCAGTGGCAGCCGAGGCCAAGGAGGACGACACGCCCGAGGACAAGTTGCGTGAATATGTCAAAAGCGTTCAATGTTGCACAGGCAACGCTTGCCTCGCTTGCCTTGCCCCATTGTTGGGGGCTTGCCAATTTAATTTCTGACGCTGCGTGCAAGGAGGAGAGCCTTCGTTTTGTTACGCTTGGACGCCTTCGACGGATGGCGCTTGCTCCTTCCGTCCTGGTGCATGGTGCCTGGTGCCTGGTGCCTGGTCCTTGGTGGCACAGCAGGCGTGCTGCTTATGACAGCAGCCGGAGTCAGGGGCAGGACGCCAAGTGTGGCCATAATTTTTATGCTTCTGTGTTGGCATTTTAATGCAATTTGAGCGCATTTCCCTTTTGAAACCAATGCCAGGACACCTATTGCTTTGGCAAGGACCAGGACCAGGACAACGGCAAAGGCAAAGGCAACGGCAACGGCAAACGGCACACAGCACACATTTCACAGTCCATTGAGCTCGCCCTGAACGTGGAGCGCTGGAGGCGGCGTCACCCAGACGCCTCCCATGGCATTGCGTCATAGAAACAGGATATGCCACTGCTACCTACCGACCAGGACCAGGACCAGGACCAGGACCAGGACCACGGCCGGGACAAACTCCAAAAGAAGCGCTATTAATTGGGCAGTTCCCCTGAAAGCAGAAGCCAGCAGCCAGAAATCTGCTGAGACGGCAGAAACCACAAAATCAGTTCATGATTTCGTTGTTGTACGCGACGGCGGCTGCTGATTACGCAAAATCCTCCTCCATCTTCTACATCCTCTTGCTCCCAGAACAAGGGAGTCGAGGGAAAAACATTGTTATTGCCACATGTGGCGGATGCCACGTGACACGAGCATAAACAGTTGGCACAATCGTCAAATAAGTTACACATGTCATGTAAACCCCCGACAGAAGCCAAAGTCCCGGCCACAGGCCACAATCCACAGCCAGCCCCCACATAAATGTCAAACAAACAGAGGAAATGCTAAATTCGGCGGAAATTTTACAATAACACGAGTACAAGATATACTTGTACTTGTACTTGTTTTGCCCTGCCCCACTGCCCCCCAGACATTGAACAATAAATAGTTCTTTGCACTGCAGGTAACAAAGCACTGCCCTGGCTCTGACCTGTTTTCGGCCTGAATGAAAAGGATTTTGCCCGCTAATAGCCAAGATCAAAGCAGCAGTCGAAGCGGGCCAATTAACAGGCAGGGCAACTCGCAGAGTTTCTGGCCAGAAATAGGGCCGCTTAAGCCCCCTCACAATAGCCATCCATTGTTCATTGTACTGCGGCCGCAAAATGGCATCGGGATGGGAGGAGCAGCATCAATAAGTGCTGATAATAGTTTAAATGGGAATCGGGGCATAGACTTAGGGAGGAGCATGCGGCGAAAGCTCTGCCCTTTTTTTTTAGATCAGACTCCAGCTGGAATCATGATTTCGCGTCTAATCATAGTCATTTGGCCATCTTAAAAGGAGCTACAAATAAGATTTTAAATTGATTGAAAGGAGTCTCTCAAGCTAGTTTTATTTTCTAGATTTCAGAACTCGTTCCCACAGAGCATGTACTTCTTGAATCACTTACATCCCGAAGTAAGTAGAAACCAAATCAGGCCACAGAAACACCCCCCGTTCTCATAAGTAGCTCAAAGATATTTTTTTATATACACTTCACATCCATTCCATAGATATTCACGATCGTTTAATTGTTGGTAAATGCCTGGGAGGCAGGCAACAAGTGCATCTGGGGATGGAATGCTACAATGGCCATCATAAATAAAGCGCCTGCTAATGAGCCGCAAGAATAGCACTGGCTGGCGGCACTTACTCCACAAGTGCGTGCACTTAGCCGCCAATCTCAAGAACGAAAACAAATTACATTTAATTTCATGGCAAACAATAAAGGAATCCCAAAAAAGTAGAAGACCCCCAAAAACCAACGGAAAGATACGAGTGTGGTGAGTGGCGAGTAGTTCGAAATCTAAACAATTGTTGCTACCAAGAACAAATAAATTCGAAGCAGATTTCACACCTGTACAGGTCCCAGTGGCGTTTGATTTTGTTTAGATGACTCATAGTCGAGGTCGAGGCAGTCAAATGAGGCAACCACCAGAACAACCACTCCGGAAACCACTTCACCAACCACTCCACCACCCACTTGGAAGCAGCAGCAGCCCCCAGAAGAAGGAGCGATGATTCTTGCCGCGGTTTCCCATGCCAATTGATTGGGGAGGCACACAAGTATGCACCACATCCACATCCTCCTATCCGCCGCCTTTGTCTGTGTCTGTGTCTGTGTGGATGAAGCCAATCGAATAGTGAGGCATGCAACATTGCTGTGTACCATGAAGATGGCACAGCTGCCTCTGCCTCCGCCACTGCCTCCGCCACTGCCTCTGCCACTGTTCCCGGGGCCTTTGATGAAGATGGAATGCCCATGGCCCCCAGTTGCCAGCTGCAATCATTTGACTTCTGCCTGGCCCCTTTCGCTTGTTTTTATTTTCTTCTGTTTTATGTTGATTGTAAAAAAGGGAGCAAGCAACACTGGAATTTTTGTTGCAACAACTGATTTAATTGCAACCAAACCAAAGTGCAGCCAAAGGCAAGGCTCTGAAATGGCACTGCCTGATGAAATGCGTGCTTCCATTGCAGATCACTCCACTCTTAGAGGATATACTTATGCCCACCCTGTATCCTTAAGTACTCGTAATCAGCTTCATTAGTTTGAGGAGGCAGGTTCCAATTGCACTCAGTCTATTCACATTTTATTTGGCCACAAAGCATCAGCCAGCAATTAGACGAAGATCCACCTCATTAGTTCAAAGGATACCCAAATACGTGGCTGTGTGTTGCATGCTCCTGCATGCCACTCAAACACACACACGGCGCACTCATGACACACACGGCACACGCACACAATCACACATTTGTTCAAATACAATTACATAGTCATACAATTATCGCAAGACAAACATAGACTAATGCAAAACGCCAAATTGTGGCTGAGGTGTGGCCAGGTAAATGCTGTTGCTGATGCTGCTGCCTCTGATGCTCCTGCCTCTGCCTCTGCCTCTGGCTCTGCCTCTGCTGCTCTTGATGATGACTCTATGAAGATGCGGGCTGCCAGAGGCTTGGGCGGAGGAGGAGGAGGTGGGGCCGGCACGACGACATTTGTTGCAACGGAAGTAAATGTTTGCATTGTTGAAATTTTAATTGCATTTGCATAAAGCAACGCACACACAGACATATCTATGCCTCTGCCACTCTGGCACTCCGTTGCTCCGTTGCTATTGCACTTGGTTGCGCCCTTGCCTGCATCCTATGCTGCTCCTGCAGCCATTTTGACTGGCAGCCAAACAGTTGCCACACAGAGCCAGACCTAGACCCGGACCCGGCCAAGCAATTATCAATTTCAAAATTAATTTAACTTAATTGAGTAGTGAAAATAATAAACATACGCACGCCCGTGCCTTTGCCCCGAAGTGTTTACACCGAGAGTACTGACTGAGATTATGCAACAGAACAGTCTCTTCCTGCCCATCTCTGTGGCCCTACAAAGTGGCAGCTTTTGGGGCTAAAAGGCACTTCAACAACTGCCATGCGACCGACAGTGCCAGGCAGCAACAAAGTGTGCACAAATGCCTAATGAAATATTTGTCACGCGTTTGGACAAATGAGCAAACAGAATGCCCTGTTAAGCGCAGCGAGAGAGAGTGAGAGAGTCGGTCCCAGAAAGGGAAAGACCCAGACCGACTGTGTGAAGATTTTCCTCGGTTTCACTTTGCTTCTGGAGCCCCCGCCCCGTCAAACAACTTACTGACCCATAAATTTCACTCACTGACAAAATGTTCGACTTGTAAACAAATTTTTTATGGCAAATGTTGCACCAGCCACTTGAAGTGCAACATGCGACTGCCACAAGTGCATCCGCACAGTGCCAGGCAGCTAATTAGAGGCATCATAATGCCGCTGTCGCGACAGTGCTCCCTCCCCCCCTGGCCACACCACACCCTCTGTCGATCCCAGCCAAAAGACCCCCCGGATAAACATTGGCAATTTTCTATTTGCCCAACTCATTCGGTTCGAGATTGCAACAAGCTGCTTGACTCCCTCAAGCACGTATATGTACGTATATTCACTTATAGCTAATAGCACTCGAGAGAGGGCGGAGGGAGAGCATTGGAGCAGGGGAGAAGGAGAGCAAAGCAGGGGAACTTTGAACCCACCACAAATTCGAGTAGGAGTATGAGGAGGGATTCATCAGGTCACTGTATAAACATTTTCGCGACCATTCATGATAAAATAAAAATGAAAAAAAAAATTCAAAAGAAATTAGCGCACAGGATGCCCCCATGATCTGGCATATTTCAGCACATAATTAGCGCAAACTAGCATTCAGTTCGCATAGAAAAAAACGCCAAGAAGTATTCCCAAACAAATGGTATTCTGGGAATTGAACTATTTATAGGAATTAAATTATGCTTGCCCATTATTTATGCGCTGCTAATTGAATACAGGAATTTATACTCTTATATGTACAATGCAATGAAGTGAATAATGTACGGGGCGGATTGAGGGAGTAAAACTTATTAATCTTCGCATTAAAAACATAATTATTCCAGAAGGCACTCAACAGCAACCTACTGCCTGACGAAATAAGTCTATATTTAGAGCAAACAAAAACCAACTCCGCTGCCTGACGCACACAAATTTCAGTTATTTATAATAGCCTTCAAATGAAATGTTAGCCAAGCCAATTGCGTTAAATTTTATCATGCCAGCAGCTAACTGGCAGGTAAAATGTAGAGCAGACATTGATTTATAGCGCAATTACGGATTCCCTGGCATTGTTTCCACTGAGTACTCTTCAGTACTCTTTTCAGTTGTGGCAGTCGCTTCTTTCGAATTCCTCTTGGACAGCAATTGAAGGTGGAGGCTATTGCAGGCTGAGGATGCTGAGGATGCTGAGGATGCTGAGGATGCTGGAGAGAGGTCGTCCAGTCACCCTGCGTCCCTGTCCCTGTCCCTGTCCCTGTCCCTGACCCTATAACGGGCATCAATTCGGTCTCCAATCGGTTCATTTTCTGTCATCGAGATGCACATCACGTCCTCTCAAGAGCCAGAACCGATCGTCGCTTGTCGTCAGTCAAAACATTTTTATGGGTTTTATTTTTCGGGTTATTCTGCTTTGGCCTGCTCTCAACGCTGGCGGCAAATGTTTCACTTGTTGCTGCTGCCGCTGCCGCCGCCGCCACTGCTGCACGAATGTCTCGCACTCCAATTCTCCAACTCTCCTTCTCCCTGCCACAGCGAGAACAGCGAGTTTTTAGGAACATTTTGCTGCATGTGACGCATCGTTTGTTGGGACCGTGGTCCCCTCGCTCCTCCTACTCCTGCTCCTGCTCCTACTCCTCGTTCCTGAATCTACTGAAATTTTGGATATTTTTGCAGTCTTGGGTGTATCTTTTTTTGGCCTGCTTATACACTGTGCCCCTGCAATTTTTCGGCGGCATATTTTGGGGCATCCTTTTTATCTTCCGCGTTGCAGCGTACGTCGACCCCGTCTGAGGCGACTATCGAATTAATTGTCTGTGTGCTTGTGCGTGTGTACAGTGCATGAGGATCTGTGTGTGTGTGTGTGTGTGTGTGTGGGGTAAATATTAACATTAAAATATTTGCCACCGACACCATGCGGCTGGCATTTGATTTAGAGCTGCTCTAGGGAATAATTAAACGCTGCCATGTCGGCAGTCTTTTGTTAATTAAGCATAAAACATTAAGTCATGGGAAAACGATCTGCAGATCTCCAGATCTGGATCTGAAGAACTCCTGATCCCCATGGAGCGCTGTCGCAATTATCCAGCATACCATGGGGGGGCCCCACCATGCAGCACATGTTGCAAATGCAGCATGCACCATTGCCGCGATGAACTTGGGAGGTAATTGAGCCATGGAATGAGCAGGGGTCGGGGAAGGACTGCAACGCACTCGTACTCGTAGTCGCACAAGGCGTGCCGTTTGTTGAATCATAATTTGCTACTCATTTGCCGCATCATTCGATATTCCAATGAAATCAAATCCATTCCATCTGCAGACGCGTTTCCGGAGGCGGACTTCCCCCGAGAATCCCCAGAAGCACCCAGAGGCACCACTCACATATTAGATCAGCGTTTGGCTATCTCTGATTTATTTATAGCAATTAAGGATCAATTATGCAATCTAAGTGCAAACACGAGCGAATGATTGGACGTGTTTTTACGGGGTTTTGGAAGGTCTTCTTTCAAAGCAACCACTGGGGGTCTGCGTGTATCATTTTCAAAGCATAAATTTCGAAAAATTTACTGTTTATAGAAACAGTACGGCAGGGGTATACGTATACGCACACAGATCACCACTCAATAAACAATTTGGAATAGCAACAGCAACTATGTACATGTGTACATGTATGTACAACTATGTATCTAGGTGTTGCAGCATTTTCCTGTTGATTCTATTCCTCCGATTCTCCGTTTGTTATTATTGCTGCTGGTCAAAATTTAGTGGTTTCCGCGGAATATTATTCTTCAAACATAACAAACAAAGTGTTGGGAAATCTATCAGATACATAGTTGGAAATGTACATAAAAAATAGGAAATATCTCTAAATATATACAAATGGGAGGAGTACTCATGCAAATTCCCCCGAAGTGACTACTGACTAAGCACAAATGCCTTAGCTACTCGCAGATTCTGGAAAAATTCTTCTGAAGTATTCCTTTCCAGATCTTTGCATCGTGTGAGACTCTGGAGCTCTGAAGTTCAAAGACGTCACGAGTCACAAATTTTCGCTTAATGTAAAGAGTTTATTCGGCCACTTAATGGCCACACACAGAGCCCGAGACAGAGACATACACTCAGATACAGAGTTACTGATTTACCGAGTGCGTTAAAACGTTTAGTTTGTACCATTAAACTAGAGACATAATGGTGTGTATAGTGTGTATCTCTCTTTGAGTGTTGACCCGCCTGGGCCCTGGGGTCTGGGCTAGCCGGCTGATCAGATCACCTACATACTCGCACATACATAGATGGGGAATGCTGCTTTCAAGACTCAAGATTCTCAATTGATTTTCTTTATCATCGAACACAATTGTCAAGTTCTCGAGAATTTTTCCATTATATCCGAAAACTACAAAGCCTTGAGAAAATGGTGAAAAATAATAAATAAATAATTTCCGGAGAATTTCCGATTAAATCGCAGATAGCAGGCACATGTCCCCAAACCCAGACTAACGGGTCATGTGTTGGCCACATTTCGTGGCATGAGCATAGCCGTGGCAGCATCATCTTCAGAATCAGCTGAGGCCATAGATTCTTCTTGGCCTGCTCCGCGACTGCCGATTGCCGTTGACAACGGGGCCGGGACGGGCCATGCCGTGCCGTGCCGTACCGGGTAAAGAGATAGATTTTCGCTTTCAAGTGGTTGGGCACAGCATAGTTTTCGCGAAAAACTTTAAAAAACTTGACGAATGGATGCGCTAACTGCCAGTCGGCCAGATACTGCCCGAGGGAACAAGTTTCTGGGCTTTTATGTGTGGCTGTCGGTGTCGGTGTCGTCTTCGTTGTCGGCGGTGGCGGCGACGTCGGGCACCGGCAACTTTATGACTTTGGCCAAAAATAAAACGCACGCAATTCTTGCGGTCAACAGGCAACATCCAACATCCAACCCGGAGCAGCCTCTGCCTCTGTCTCTGCCTCAGACCCAGACTCAGATCATGCGAAAGATATGTCCAGCATGTGCGTGAGAGTCCGTACAACTGCCTCGTCAAGATCTTTAAAGGCATCTCTGCTGGGGGGTAAGGTGAGTGCCATCAACTTTGAACTGGCAGTGGCACTGCCCTGACCGACGTTGTCCATCTCTGCCCCTTCCGAATGTTTCACTTCATCGCCGTCAGTGGAGCCGCAATGGGGTATTTTTTTTTGGGTGGGGGGGGGGGGGGGGCGGGGGCGCACTTCAAAGCGCACGCACTTCACCTACGCTGGCACCCAATCCGAAGGCAACTCTTTGCATAAATATTTACATTTCCATTCGAAAATTTGATTTGGTTTCTTTTTCTCTGGGCTCCCTGGGTATTGTATTGTGTGTGGCGGAATCGCACACACATTTTTGGAAAGCCAACAAAGGCAGTGGAAAAATAAAAAAGGCCTGTCGTGATGGTACAGGTGAGGTAATGGCTTACTTTCTGGGGCACTGTTTGGCGGATGGGGAGGAGGGACTGGGGAGTGGGGAGGGCCACCGATCTGGCTGTTTGAAGTACATAATTCTGTAGCCGGAAATTGAGATATCTAAAAGGGGAATCGATCGACCTAATAATTACGGATTAAATTAGCTATAATACAAAATCTCTTCGATTCCCTTGCGCTTTTAACTTTAAGCATACACGTATCCTTTGAATCCTTCAAATTTGATTATGCATAATTACGAAAAGTATCTCAAAACAAAATAGCCACATAATTAGATACAAATTTTAAGCATAATTGCTAATTGGAAACATTTTAACAGGACCTGGACAATCTGCAATCAAGGCACACCACCCATTAACCAAGAACAGGAATTGTGGGGCAGGGGGCAGGGGAGCGACAGAGAGAGGACTTCGAAAATGGTTTGAAAAATGTTGCAATTTTCATTAACAAACTTCAATTAAGTTGGCAATGCAATTTGGCATGCAAACAAAATGCTGGCCAGGATAATGGCAGACGCGTAGTGTCAATAACGGAGCGGAGCGCGCCTGTTGCACAGCGAGCACGTAGCCCGGATGCTCGTACTGCTACACTCCCACACACTACATCCGCACATGTGGACAGGACAATCACTGGAGGAAAATGCCAAGGATAGACGATGGGAAGAGCTGGGAGACCATCCAGCCAGCCAGGAGCCATGTCAAGTGTTTGCGCATGTAGTTCAAATGAAATTAAAATTCCAATTGACACAGTAATTTGCTAGCAACACAAAAGGAATCAATTTCGTGCCAAACACGACACACAGCTTGCCACTGTATCTGCCACTGCCGCTGCCACTACCACTGCCACAGTCACTGGTTACAATTGTATTAATCTGGCAGTGCCGTGCCGCATCTGGTAGAGTATTCCCATCCAAAAGATACATGTTTCATGTTTGTCTGATGCTTACCACAACCGCCTCGATAAATCCATTTTGCGGCTCCTTACTGTTGATGATAGCACAATAATCGAACCGTTCCGCGTCGTTGGGGTGGCTCCTTCTCGGAATTTCACGAATTTTGCACGCAAATACTTAAATCGAGGCTTGTTCTGTGTGGTTGACACTTGAAATGTTTTCGGTCGGGCTCGTGGCCACTTGAGTTTTAATTATTTCGCACACTCTTCACAACGAAAATGATTCTGCACTTTGCGCCTGCGCATGGCCAGAAAGGATACGGAATGACACTGAATTAATTTCGATTTCGATTTAAATTTCGTCCTCGGACCCGTCCTCTTGTTCTCGATCACACACACCCGCAGGGTTAGAGCGCACGCCAGCAACTGATCGAGTCGGAGCGTATACGATCGCTCTAATTCTGTCTGCCACTGCCACTGGCACTAGCAGCGAAAGCCGCAGCAGGCCCAACAGCAGTAGTGGCGCAGCCCCAGCAGCGCGCTGCGTCTGCGTCGCTGCCAGCGGCACTACTCTGCCACTGCCACCGATAGGGTCCGGTCCGTCGATGCGATAGCGCCACAAAGGACGGGCTGCTGTTTCCGCTCCTCTAATCGCACCCAAATTGAATGGGATTCCTACACTAGCTCTTGCTGTGAGATCCCCGATAATCAGCCTGAAAGCAAACGTGCTCGGGCGAAAGACGCACTAAATATATTAAGTTTATGGCTGTCGCTGATCCTTTAACGTAGCCCCAACCAACCGGCTTCTTTTGGCCCCCATGAGAGACTGAAGATGAGTGCGGTTTTTTTGCAGTCGCTTCGCTGCACACTCATCTTCAACTGGTTCTCTCTCCCATGGGGCTGGCTGGCTCGCTGATCTTTATGCGTTGCACGTGTGTGTGGCGGCGATCGGAGTGCTGTTGGTGTTGGTGTTAAAAAGTGATTTACTGTGCCAGCCCTCACATGTTCGGGATGCACTCGGAGTCGAGTCGAGTCGCCCCAGATGAACACATGTCGACAACATTCGTGGGAGTAGGAGTTGAAGAAGGATCCTTTACGGATCCTTGTCATAAGTCAACTGCACCAGAAAAACCATCTCAATTCGGTTTAATTGCAGCCAACACATGTGCGATGTGTTTACTTTGATTTTTCACGCTCCATTCGGAACTGAACGGAAGGGAAGGAAAGGGAGGAGATGGCCCAGACAAATATAGATGTCCAGTGAACATGATCTTTGTTCGGTTGTGGGATAATTACTGTCTGGCATTGTCCGTGCGACATTGCTGGTACGGATCGGTTAACTAAAGCATCGATTACACCAAATTAGTCGAGTTCATTCATAAATTCATGAAATTCACATATCCACCAGAGTCTGAGTGACTATTTCCGCATTCCAATTAGAGCTATATATATATAGTATATTTCTAATCCAACTGCCAATCTCAACCACAACTGCTTCCGCCGAATTTTAGTTCCCTGATAGTGCGTACATCGAGTTCGGATAGAAGGGCTTCTAACCCCAAAAGAAACTATGAGTAACGGAAGGAACTCGATGTGGATGCCTGAAGCAGACTGCAAAATTCTTTGCGTGATTTCTTTCATTTCGCTCGAGGAAATATCTTGTGAATGTGAATGTAAATGTAAATGTCCAGCATCGGTTATATAAGTCTGCCGTCACATTCTATTTATACACTCTCTCTTATCAGCGGCTCGCCAGGGAAAGTCGGAACCCAGTTAGCTAATAAGTCGCAACGCAAAAGGAATGAATTTATCCGCATTTCAAGGCGAGAGCAAACGATTCAAGAAATGTGGAGCGCACTTGATATTATACAAATTCGCACATAGCATAGTAGTTATACTCGTATGTATTGTATATATGAATATGAAACAAGTGAAATAAAAAGCATTCATTCATTAATGTAGGACTTGGCTCTAATTGGCTGGGCCTTAGCGGAAATCGTTTATCTGCAAGAAGTCGCTCTGGTCTATGGCCACTGGCTCTGCCTCTGCCACTGCCACTGGCTCTGGGTTGGTGTGGGTGAACTCCAATTAGCATTGCTTTGACCCATTTAAGCAGCTTCCGTCATAGGCGTTGGTATGAACAGCCAGGGGCACTTCTCTCGCTCTCGCTGTCGCTGTCAGAGTGGCTTATCTCGGCGACAGTTCCGTTGCCGCTGTGTATCGGTATCCTAAGCTCTAAGCATGTGGGTGAAGGGTGGCTGTGGCGGTGCCTCTGGGCGGCCGGCAGCAGCTCTAGTAGTGGCAGCGAGATCAACAGGAAGTCGGATAGTGGGATTTGTTTTATATAAACCGTACATAATAGAAAACTATAGATATAATATGTATATAATAGCGATAACAAGGCAGAGGCAACAATCTAATGATGATTCTCGAAACTGCGCTCATCTACTAGAAACCTGGATCCCAATCCGTTTGCTGGGCCTCCATGTGCGTGGTGTAGCATTGGAGTATGTCGCCGGCCTGCGGCAGCACCTTGGCATCCTTTAAGCGCAGTCCACACTCCACGTCCTTTTTGATCGAATCCACTTCGTTCTTCAGATGACGCATCGACTCCAATTGTCCATCGTAGACAACTTCCCCTTCACGCACCAATCGGAACTTTTGGGCCTTCTTCAGTACGCCCTTGGTGCAGCGACACCCAGCCACGGGCACCTCTTTGCGTCCCTCGTTGATGATGAAACTCTGCAGTACGTTGGCCTCTCCCAGAACTTCCTCCACCTCCACAGGTGGCAGCTTGCTGCTAAGTTGCTCCTTTAGATCGTCAATCAACCGATAGATTATATTGTAGCTTCGCACATTCACATCTTTGGTGGCCTTGTTCTGGGGCGTCTCCACAGCAAAAGCGTAGATAATAGCATCGAATGCTTTGGCAAGCTCTAGGTCCCCCTCTGTTACGTTGCCCACGCCGTAGTGCACAATGTCTAGGCGGCAGATGTCGTTGCTGCTGTAGGTCTCCAGCACATCCAGTATCGCCTCCACAGAGCCATGCACATCTCCCTTGATGATGACACTGACACGCGGCTTGCCTTCGTTCTCGTCCACCTGTTTGACCCGCTGGCCACCGCGCATGCGAAAGCGTCCTGCTAGGCGACGGGCCTCGCGCGCTGCCCGATACGTGGCCTGATGCTCCTCATCCTTTTTTCGTATCTCCTCGCTGCTGGACTCGATCTTCTCCTGCTGAGCCTCGTGCTCGCGATACTTCAACACTGCATGTGCTTTTTTCTGCAAGAATTTTCATGTTTCAAATATGTGTAAAAGTGCAAAAAACTTTTTACAAGTACCTCCGTTTCCACCTCCAGTATAAGATCGCCAGCCAGTGGCAGCTCTCGCCAGCCAAGAATCTCCACTGGGGTACCAGGAGGCGCTTCAGTTAGAGGCTTTCCATTATGGTCGAACAGACCTCGAACCTTGGCATGCGCCAAACCACTCAGCAGCACAGAACCTTTGCGTAGTGTGCCTCGGGACACTATGGCAGTGGAAAGCTTCCCACGTCGGGGGTCTGTTTTTGACTCCACCACAATTCCCTCGACCAGACCCGAGGGATCCGACTTCAGCCCCATGAGAGTAGCTTGTGTGCTGACTGCCTCGGCGAGCAACTGCAAGTTGGTGCCCTTTAGAGCCGAAATGGGTATGACCTGGATATCGCCGCCATGCTCCTCGAGCGCCAGACCCATTTGCGCCAGCTCTCGCTTGCTCTTTTCCTGAAAGGCAAGCGACATTAGGTATCATTAATATGATAGATCCTCACTGACTTACAATATCCGCCTCGGGCTTATCGATCTTGTTGAGGGCCACGATTATGGGCACCTGCGCCTCCTTGGCCAGCTGGATGACTTCGCGTGTCTGCGCCATGACGCCATCCTCGGCGGCCACCACCAGCACTATGATGTCAGTGGCCACAGCACCGCGTGCTCTCATTGCACTGAAAGCTGCGTGGCCCGGAGTGTCGAGAAACGTGACCTGTTCGCCGTTCTCCAGAGTCACAGTAAAGGCACCGATGTGTTGGGTGATGCCACCAGCCTCTCCAGCTGCCACATCTGCACCACGCAACGAGTCCAACAGCGTTGTCTTGCCGTGATCCACATGGCCCATGACAGTGACAACGGGGGGGCGAGGCTGTAGCAGCTCTGGTGGCGCAGGCGGCCTGGGCGTCACATCACGCTCCTTCTGATCGTCTTCGCAGGATGCTTCTGGTGTGGCCACCACGCGGGTCTTGGCTCCCAGCTTTTTAGCTATTTCTTGGATGATTTTGAGATCCGGCAGCTTGGCGGCGGGTTCGATGTTATCAGCGCCTTTTACGTACAACATGGCCTCCTGGACGTCATCTAGGGGAGAGTAAACTCTTTAAAAAGTGACTCAAAAGATGGCTTAAGAGTCCACATACCGACTGGCCTTTGCAGCACCTTGGCCAACTGCGCCACGCTCATGTGCCTCCAGATTTCCGATCCTCCAGACGGCAATCCATTCGCCGGCTGCGCTTTTTTCGGTGAATACTCTATAATTCGCGGGGATTTCTACATAAATTAGTGAGTCTGTCCTCTTACAAAAGTTTATTCTTAAAAGTCGCCATCAACGAATCAATTTTTCATTCATAATTTAATGTTTTTCCTCCACAATTCAAACAGAAATTTATTTTTGTTTTCCAATTACTCTCAAACCTACCTTCTCTTCGGCTGTTTTCCGGCGTTTGAGGCGTGCGGCGTCCACATGAAATAACCGAAACGTTGCCGGTGCCTGTTTCCAATGGCTGAAGGATTGGCTGTAGTGCAGTGCATTTGGTAGTCGATATAAACAGCTTATTCTTAACATTTTCTATGGTTAATTTATTTAATTAATTTATTTCTTCACACTTATTTTTTCACATAACAGGTAAGTGTGACCGTTTTACAATAACAACAGCTGTTTCTTGGACAGTCTTCACTAAGCTGTACGCTGCGCCACCTAGCGTCTTTTTGGTGCAAGCGCCATCTAGCGTTATGAAATTCTGCGTCATACAGCACAGAATGTGTACTTTATTGAATATCATCCCTGACGATTGCGCTACATCGATAATCAATATCATCCCTGAATTTTAAATCGCGCGCGGAAAAGATTTTTTTCAGAATTTACTGACAAAAATCAAAATAAAGGAAAGAGGACCACCCATCCCAAGGACGCGAGCCAGGAGCTTTGGAAGGTGAGGAATCATACAAAAAACACTTCAACTAAATTGGCCTAATGCCCGACATTCGAGATCGTTGCGTCTCGTGGAGATGAAAGGTAAGTGAATGGCTTAATGTCTAATGATTAAAAATAATCAAATTCTGCGATCCACAATAGAAGTTCCAGCCACTACCCTTTCCTTGCGATTGCCCTTGAGGGAGAGACCACTTTTATAGCTCTTGCGTCGTTCTATTCTCTTTGAAGAACCAGGACGAAAAGCCTCGTGAGTGAACGAAACTTCCTAACGAATGTTACAAGTATGAAGATGAATGCTGAGTACTGTACCACCCTCTGTCCGCCAGAGTTAAATCCCTTGTTACACAAATTTAGGGATTTTATTTCGTACCTCTTGTGACATGCTCACACGCACATTTTCGTTATATTTTTCGATTCGTTCGTCGGTTCTTTCTGCACTTCTATTTCCCATGGTTTTATTCTTTTATAATTTTAAAGTATACATCTTTAAGTTGTATATTATCCATCCTAAGGTTTAACAGCATCCAGCTATTATTACAAGTTCTTGTTCTCCGGCCGTCGGGTCGCAAACTCGCAGAACATTGATTGGGAATAAGTAGAAACCCAGACCATTATTGTTTTGTATTGAAAGACATGATTGCTTGGGGTTTTCTGTTGTTTTTATTCACTTGTGTATTTCACCCGCTCTCACAGTTCATTTTACGTAGATTCTCAGTTCGTAAAAATTGTTGTATTGTATTTAATTAAGTATAATCTTCTGTCACCTGCTCTGCAACATTTTCTGTTTATCTCACATATGCTTAGGTCGTTCATGAATAAATAAGTTACATTGTTATTATCGTCTTCACTGTGTTTGCTTTTATTAAAAAAAGTCTTATCAACTACGACATCGTCGGGGAGTATGCTCAAAACCAAAAAACGAAAAACGAAAAACCAAAAATTAAAACATTAACAATATTGCCTGTGTGCTCAAAATCTGAAATCTCAAAAACTCAAAACTCTGCGCTGCGCTGTTGTTCTTTACTACTACTTGGAAAAATTAAGGGAAAAATCTAGGGAAATGGGGAATTATATTCGGATGTTAGCCAATGAGGGAGGGGTGTGTGCGTGGGAAGGTTAGATATCGTCGATGGTTCGTTCGCCTTGCTCTCAGCTAAAATAGTTACTTGTTGATCTACTCACAGGTATATTGTAAAGACTCCCATTTGCTACCTCTCTTCCCTGCTCCAAAACAAGTACAAGTGTTATGTGTGTGTGTGTCTGTTTGCTCTCATTTATGTAATTGGCTTCCCTCTCATACGGCTCTCAGTTCGGTTAAGTGTATTATATGTACTCAAAATAATCAAAAGATCTATTGCAAATCGGTTGTAATTAATAAATTCTCTAAAGGCCAAGCATGGGCTCGTAGCAACCGTTGCTATTTCAAATTGAAAAGTTCTCTCTCTCGTGAGTTCTCTTTTCTGTTTTCTGTCTTACGCTGTTGTTCTCCTACGATCGGGGACGGGGGGACGTTAACAAAGATATATATTCTCTCATATTTGCGGTCCTAAATATGTCCTTTTGCTCTCTCTACTCATGATATACATATTTCTCCCATTCTCCTCTCCTCTCTCACTACCTCTTTCGTAATTCTCAATAGACGGTTACTGGTGCCGATGTCGATGTCACATTCTCTCTATCTCTCTTTAAAACAAACTAAATGGCAGGTTTTCTCCTCCGAGGGAGAAACAACACCTCAACTCGTCTTTTTGGGATCAGCCTGCGTGCCCTTTCCCTGTCCTTCCAACGCCTGCTGCTGCTGCTGCTGTTTCTCGATGTTGGCCAGAGCCGCCTCGGACATCTTCTTGTACTTGCCGGCTAGCTCGGGCAGCTCGTACGAAATGGCCTGGTCCAGCTTGGTGATGGGACAGCCGCGGAAGTAGGTGCACGTTTCCGTCAGTTTCTTGAACTCGTACAGCGGATTCAGGCGGAAGAAGTCACGGTATACCTCCGGATCCGGCAGATCGTAGCGCGAGATGTTGGTCAGCGTGGAAAGACCCTCGTAGATGTGGTAGTTCTGCGGATGATCGATGATGTCGTCCGAGATGCGCTTCTTGTTGCCGAACAGTGTCTTGTGGTTGAAGTAGGTGTTCAGATAGCAGTCCACCATCTTGGCGTGATTACGCACTCGCACCTGCAGAAGAGGAGGATGGATCGTTGACATGAATGTTGACCCACCGTCTTATCGGAATGGCAGAGACTTACAGCAAATCGACGAGCACTGGCAATCTTGTGTTCGATGCGCTTGTCGATGGCCGTTCGTAGGTCACGCAGGAAGGCGCGCTCCTGCGCGAGCAGCAGGCGGGCCGGGGCGCCGTCCTGGTAGGGATGCGTCCACAGCGAGGTGGTGTACATGAGTGGCGGCTGGGCCGACGACATCAGCGGCGAGATGTTCCAAATGAGGGCGCCCTGCACGCGCAGCAGCTCCTCGGGATGGACGGTGTCCGCCTTGTTGAGGATGATGCGCGTCTGGTACTCGCGCCCCTTCAGCTGGTCGAGAATGGCCTCCGTCTCGGGGCCCACATCCAACTTGGCCGGGTCGTAGACCAGAAAGATGATGTCGGCGCGATCGATGAACCACTGGCAGGCATCGTTGAAGGGGAAGACGCGGGAGACCTGCTTGCGCACTTCTAGAATGCCGGGTATCTCGACGATGTTGACCTAAAAATGCAAGATGCAGATGCTTAAATTTAGTAATGCAATTTTTCTACTTCTACACTCATTTATTAATAACGAAATTAATGCAGAATGTGTGCTAAAAGCTATAAATTGTGTCTGGCAGATGGCCAGCCATGACTGCATGCAGATAGCTCCTCGCCAGCAGATTCCCCATCGACAGGGCAGCTGCCCTGCCTAGAGCTGTCTGGGAGACGACAAGTTAATGCGGCTGTCTGTCTTTCTGGGATCTTACCTTCTCGAGCAGCTTGCTCTTCATCTTCAGACCGCGCAGACGCTCCTCCAGGCCCTGGCCGAACTTCTGCAGGCCGGAGAACGTGTAGTCGGCGGCCAGCTGAGTGCCGTCCAGAACCTCCGTCTCATTGCCCCACATCAGGATATTGAAGTAGGCCGGAGAGGGTTCGGCACCTAAGATGTGGATACAAAGGTAATTCGTGTATCATTTGGTTTCTAATTTCATCTGATATTTGACCCGCGAACTTACCAGTTCTCAGCGAATTGGGGGTGTACTCGTTGTCGGTCAAATAGTTAAGGATCGAGGACTTGCCCCCGGACCAGGGACCCATGAACAGCACTAGCGGCTTGGAGAAGATCTCCGGATCGCTGAAGTGACGGTTGCTTAGGTCGCGGTACTTGTACAGCGTCTCCAGGGGCTTGATGGCGTTCTCATAGATGCGCTTGATGTCCTTCAGGATGATCTCGGCCACATTATCGGTGGCCTTCTCGCGAGCGTTGAACTCCTCGTCCAGCAGCAGGAGCTCTGTGATGTGCTGACGGCTGCGGCGGTTCTCAGGGATGGTACCTTCCTGCAATTACAAGATTCTCCGCATGAGTCCACATAGCGGTACTGGACGTAGTCCTAAAACCTACCCAGAGAAGCTCATCTTCAGGTTTTGTGTCATCCTCGTCGTCGTCAGCTTCAGCAGGGGCAACATCCGCCTGTGGCTCATCCTGGGTCTCCTCAGACTCTACTGCATCCTCTTTGGCGGCTTCTGGCTCCTGTGGAGCTGCGGCTTCCTCTTCTGCAGACTCCTCTTCAGCTGGAGCCTGCTCGACGGGCTTTTCTTCCTCCTTCTCCTCTACCAACGGTTCCTTTTCTGCTTCTTGGGCAACTGGCTCTGGCTCTGGTTCCTGCTCTTTCACAGCCTCAACTTCTGGTTCTGGCTCTGGCTCTGGTTCGGCCTCCACCTCGACAGATTCCTCCTTGACGATTTCTTCTTCGATGGGGAATTCCTCGGCAGGACTTGGGGGAGCCTCAATGTCGATGACTGGAGCGGCATCAACCTCACGCTTGCTACGCTTCTTGACCTTTACCTTGTCATCGTCATCATCATCATCGTCGTCGTCGTCAGCCTGGCTATCATCGTCATCGCGTTCGTTCGGCACTCCATCGCCATCGACATCGTTGTCGTGTTCATTCAAGATGCCGTCCCCATCCAGATCGTCGTCCTTGTCGTTGGGCACACCATCACCGTCCAGATCTTCATCCTCTGCAAGTGGAAAAACCAAAAAATTACACTTTCATGGAGGCATAAGGGTTGTTATGTTCCTACCGGTATTCGCTTTGCCATCTCCATCCAAGTCCTCATCCTTTTCGTTCCTCACGCCATCTCCATCGAGATCTTCGTCCTCTGAAAATCAAAAAATGGCTATTAAGGGATTTTATTGCAATGGGATAATATCCTACCATGATTCACTTTGCCATCGCCATCGATGTCCTCATCTTCATCATTCTGAACGCCGTCTCCATCGAGATCTTTGTCCTCTGCAGAACGTTGGGGATATTATAGCTGAGATGTTTCAATATCAATTCAATGAGGAACCTACCGTGGTTGACCGTGCCATCTCCATCCATATCCTCATCCTCGTCATTGGGCACACCATCGCCATCAAAGTCATTATCCTCTGAAAACAACCCAACGGAAAGGATAAATTAGAGACTGATTATGAACTGAGTATCGATATAAGCAAGAGAAGCTCCTGAAAAGCAAAAACCAAATCATTGGATGCCAAAATATCTAGAAATTAAAAAAGCTTTCAATTAATGCGAAACTACTTTGCACAAAGAATAAATTTATTGAGTGTTCAGGGATAGACCTACCGTGATTAGGAGTGCCATCGCCATCAAGATCATCATCCTCTGCAGGATACACATGGAAAGGAAAATCAATCAATAAATATAGCAGGGAAAATAGCAACTAACACTTACCGTGATTTACTGTGCCATCACCGTCAATGTCCTCGTCATCGGCGTTTCGAACGCCATCGCCATCGATGTCCTCGTCCTTGGAGTTGGGCACACCATCGCCATCGATGTCGTCATCATCTTCGTTGGGCACACCGTCGCCATCCATATCATCATCATCCTCGTTCGGTATGCCATCGCCATCAATATCATCATCCTTATCGTTCGGTATACCATCCCCATCGATATCATCGTCCTCGTCATCTGGTATACCATCGCCATCAATATCGTTGGCGCTTCTCGCGTCCTCTGTGGAATCCAATTCGACAGTTTCAATTTCAACAGTTTCTTTCTCATCAACCGCATCTATCCCACCATCATCGTCGTCATCGTCGTCGTCCCTACGGGGCTGATCGGATTGCAGTTCCCCAGAGCCATCTTTGACACCATCTAAAACGATCGCCGGTTGATTCGCAGGCACTCTACGAGTATATTTTACGCGGAAACTCACCTGTTTTCAATTCATTTATGGCTCTTTCAATGTAGGGTCGACATTCAGATTCGCTTGGTCCGACATCGGCGTTGACAAACCCAACTGAAAGTCATCATCGAAAACATTACACGGGTCTGTGACAGGTTAATTTGTAATTTAAGTGGGTCCCACAAGGAAACAGCCCTACGAAAGGCCCTATGCTATGCTATTTTGAGTGAAACAATGGCCGCACTTTCTCAGCTTTTTGTCAGCGCCGCGGCGAGGTCATTCTATCTGTTCAAACTTGACATTATTTATGGTACTATCCACAGACACACGGGCAAATGGACGCACACTTCGAACGAACGCTTCTGGTGGATTTATGAATGTTATTTTTAAAAGATGAGAACTCAAACATTCACGAGTACAATATTTCGCCAGTTTGTGGATGAGAGAATTTTCGGCACAATTTTGTTGGCTGCTCGCCCACTTTGGCCTTACTTCTTCATTTTTGTTTCTTTTGGCCACCTTACTGTCCGGCCTGCAGCTCCCCAGCTTTTGAGGAGGCGTACCATATGTACGGGAATATCAATTTTGATATGAATATGACTAAAGTTTAGCTTTTGCTTATGCTTTTCTTTTCAGTAATGGAAGGTCGTGTCTGCCTAGTGACAGGCTCCTCAGAACGTCGCATTGCTAATTACTTTCGCATTGGCTGGAAATTAGGACAAATGCTCATCGGACATGTCCCAGCGGATGTCGGCATGAGATCAGCTAATGGGTCCACGGAAGTCTCTAGGAATGGGCCATCAATGGCACATCAATCGTAGCCCAATTAATGTGTGACTTGGAAGACTTTTTGAATACGTTTTCAATGGGCAATATTTCTGTCGGCGGATAGTTCTTCAGATGTATTGCAAATACCGCGTGGGAATGAAGATATTCGAGCAATTTCGCATTCATTTCTATCCGCATTGATAGAATTATTTATACAAATTTCGGCCTGCCTGCATATTGTGTTTATGTTGCTGCAATCTATTCCGGCCCAACCCATCCCATGTTATAGAGTATATAGCATTTGCACCATTTCCCCCATTTCTTTTCTGTGGTTTTTTGCAAAAACCTGAGCAAACCAAACAAAATATACAGAGACATTTCTAACACACAAACACACACACCCGGAGAGATATATACTGTATGAGTAGACAGATATGTACGTAGATAGAGAAGACCCGAGCGCACATAAAATAACTTAGAAATTCTAAATTTATAAATATTACAAACGATGACAACGAAGAGCAACCAAGCAGCGATCGTTTGCGTCTTAACGAACAAATCAGTTCTCAAAAAAAAATACAGCTAAATATTAGAATGTATCTGTATCTGTGCTGCTCCTTCAGCTGCTGCCACTAGTGGTTGGCCGGCCAAGTCAAGTGTACACAAGGCTATAGAAAATGTTCGATTGTATTTTCAAAGTGTCGTCCGCTGACGTTTGCAGACCCCAACACACACACACACACACGGACACAACGCACAAACTCAGAGAAATATTTTTAAATATATATACAATATATTTTCATATATACTCGTATTTTTTCACAATTTTCCTTTTTCTTGGCTTTTTGTGATAAAATTGCATAATGCTTGGCTGCGTGGATTTTCTGTCATGGGGAAAAAACTTTAAGTGCTGCTGCTGGGCCTTTGCCCTTCGCCTTACATAAGTGGAAGGGGGCCGGAAGAGGAGAAGGAGGAGGCGGATGAGTACTCACCATGATCGGAGACGGCGAGTAACGTTAGTCCCAGCAGGAACCAAATTGTTAGCCGCCCCATAATAATCTTTGCAACAAATTATCCTCGAGTTTCCAGCGCGGTTACAACTTTAGCCACGTCATAAATTCTCCTTTTTTTCTTCGCAACTTTCCCGTAATTATGAACAATTAGGAAAAATTAGTATTAACACTGCTCGTATTCTGCATGTATATGCGCTCGTTTAAATGCACTAGATGAAAGAGTGAAGAATTCAAAAACCAAAGATTATTTGAGACCGCACCAGAGAACCGATAGATAGTTCTTATATATATTTATGTAGGGGTAGTATGTATGGGATATGTGTCGGAATGGGAATGGTTTTCTGGTTCTGGTTCTGGTGTTCATATATAGCACTTGCTATAGATGTTTAATTAGGGTCGCACAAATTTTGTCACAGTTTTAGAGGTCTGCCAATTTTGCACTTATTCGTATTTCTTTTCTTTAAATATTTCTTTCACTTTTGCAGATCGATTTTTATTATTTATTCAAGAATTTATTGAATTGTTTTATTCGCGCTGCCGTTAGCAAATTTAAACCAACAATCATCGGCTGGGTAATCCTTAGTGTCCCTTTCGACGATTGTTAGCCAAATAATTTTGCTTATTTCTGGCCGTTGTCGTGGTCGAAGTCGTCGTATTCGTCGTCTGTGCACGTCGTGTGCGTGTCGTTTTTTGAACGGGCCGCCTCGAATTTGGGACCCAACACACATCTATTTTCTGTTTTCTGTTCCCCAACACAAATTCTGAAAGGAGGAAATTTCGGTGTGCCTGCCTGCCGTACACGAGTATACGAGACGATCTCTCCCGGTCCAAAACCAATTCGTAACTCAACATGCATATACCATGAATTTACCTTGTGACCGCGAAAATTATTCGATTTTGATATTTTTGTAGCACGAATTTTTGTCAAAAGCACACATAGTGAGTGCGCGAGTGAGTTTTTCTCTGGTCTCTGATCTCTTTTCATTTTTCTATTTTCTTTCATCATCACGCCGGGTGGCGCTCTCTTTTCGATGGCTGTTCGGTTCGGATATGTTCTGCCCGGTGATATTTTTCGGGTCTTATGATAAACCCAAGACGGATTAAGTGCCTAAATAAAGGAAAAGGAATGAATCTATGCGGTCTAGAATCAAAGGAGTGCTTTTCCATCTAGAAGTTTGATTTGAAAAAGGTTTTTACTTGCTCAGTTGATCGCTTTTGGAGGAATGTTTAATTATAGACAATGCGGTGCTCATTTCGCATTCGACTATTACTCAGAGCAACTAAATTTGAGCTAAATGTTATCCGCATAGGAGGCAGCTTGAACAGCATTTTGGGGCAGAGCCAGAGCTCTGGGCGATTTGTTTCGTGTCAAAAATGTTTAAAATCCACTCTCTCTCTCTCGCTCTGTATGATCTCTATGCATGACTGCTGCATGAATTGAGATTATAGAAATCAAATGTTAAGGATCAAAATTGAACATTTCGTGTAGCATTATTTATCATCGCTCGTTGGTATGGTTGATTGCCCGAACAGCTGCTCGCTGTGTGTGTTGTCCAAGGCTGAGATGATGACGAGTCGGTAAAAATGCAGCATGTCCCAAGTCATTGCGTTTATTGGCGTAATTAGGAATGGCAAATTCTCGTACAAATTATGGCATTACGTATGCGTACCCCTTTATTTAACGTCAGATTATGCAAGTTCCCAAGGCTTTGCTTTGTTTTGCTTTGCCAATTTATCCCACAAAATGATGATCACACTTTTATTGATTCGAAACTCATATACTCGTATATTTTTATGGGTTTCGTCTCGTGCAGTAATCTCTTTGACGCACTTTATAACCCTAGGAAGATATTAAATTAAAATACTCTTACAGCTAGTCCTATTCCTATCTTATGCTAGAGTTGTTTGCAATAATTTAGAATATGCTTTAGTAAGTGCTTAGTGGGCCTCGTTGCCCCGCTTTTTCTGCTTGATTCGGGTGCAATAATACCGATCGCTGTTCTCGATCCAATCGCAGACATTCAGGACCGTGTGGAATGCCGTCCCCTCCTTGCACTCGAACTCCACGGGCTTGCCATGGACACAGCGGAAATACTAAAGCAAAAAATAGAGAGAACATTATTCGATTTGTATCTCTGGCATATTCTACAGTTTAAACTTTTACCTTTCGGCAGTTTGGATGCGGCACAAAATCGCGATTGGTGCAATCGATTTCGCTGGGATCGAACTGCGGCTCCCCTGGCTTCTGTTCGGGATCGACAACTATTTCGGGCTCCTCCGTAAACTTCTCCGGAGCAGACGTTGTTGTGGTTGTGGTTGTCTTCTTGGGTTTCTTCGGTTTCTGTTGGAATTTGGAGTGTGGACAATTTCATTAGAGATTCTGCCTCTGCTGGCACTCCCAATTATTCACCTTTGTGGTTGTCTTCTGGGTGGTGCTGGTCAGGGCTGACGCCGGCGCTGACGTTGTGCTGAGTGGGCCTGAAGTTGGTTTTGGCTTCGGTTTCGGTTTCCGCGTCGTCGTCTCACTCTGCAGCACCGGGCCCTCGTCCGGATTGGGCGAAGTGGCGGGCGGCTTCGCCCACTCTGGCTGCAAATGCAATAAAGCAGAAAAAAATGGAAAACGAAAAATGAAAAATTTCATTTGCGTTCACACGCCATTTGGCAGTGGGACCGCCGTGGCTTACCCGTGGCGTCGTCTCCCGTGTTGGCTCCGGCACTCGATAGCCCCTCATGTTGTCGTAGAGTATTTGCATGAGCCCGTTCTTGCGGCCGCAGAGTCCGTGGAAGTCGTCCATGTCGATGGCCCAGGTCATGGCGCCCGCATAGCCCCGCTGCTTGATAAAGTCCATTTTGATCTGCACCGAGGCCTCGTTCTCGTAACCCACCCACTGGGTGTCCTTGTAGGTGAAGGGCACCATGCCGGCCTCATCCCACTCCACGGTCCAGCCCTTCGACTTGTCCATCACCTCCGTGCATATCTCGTAGTACGCCAGGAAGCCACTGGCATTTGTGTAGGGACCTGGCGCCCCGCCACCCGCCTCCTTGTTGATGTACGTCCCCATGTTGTAGTTCTTGTTGGAGTTGCTCAGCGTGAAGGTGCGTCCGTAGAACGGAATGCCGACCACCAGCTTGTTCGCCGGGCAGCCCATCTCCTCCCACAGCGCGAGGCCGTCATTCTTAAATGGCGATGCTAATTAGTTTGGCACGGGGAATGGCAGTGGAACGATGGCAATCGCAGAGCAATCGCACTGGCACTCACCACATTGAGGCGCTCGTAGGCGTACTGGTCATGCTTGCGCTTGTAGAGCGGACTGTGTGTATCGGCGAAGCCGGCCCAGTTTCCGCGCAGGTCATAGGTCATGGCATGAATGGCATCCAACAATCTGCAAGGACCCAGGGTTAACTCTTTGCTAAAATCAAGTACTCCAAACTTACTCGCAGAGCTCCGGAACGTGGTAGCCCTCCTGCAGCCTGAACTTGGCCACCGGCACTGCCATGGTGATCTCCCAGCCGCGTCCCTCCCGATCGAAGGCGCGTCGCAGCTCCTGGACAAAGTACAGGAACTTGTCCTTGTCCCCGAAGGTGCCGCCCCGATCGGTGGCCCCCGGGTACTCCCAGTCCAAGTCGAAGCCATCAAAGTTGTACTGCCTCATGAACTGGATCACGCTGCGGATGAAGCTCTGGCGACGCTCCCGGACGGCCACCATTTGCGAGTATTTCGAGCCACCCTCGGCCCAGCCGCCGACGGCTATCTGCAGCTTCAGCTTGGGATGGGTCTTCTTCAGCTGCGTGAACTTGCTGAAACCCTCCTGGTCCACATCCAAGTCGGGATCGATCACCAGCACATCCCAGCTCTTCTCCTCCACGCCTATGAAGGAGTAGATGAGATGCGTACAGAGATCGGCGGGCACATCCTCCAGGCCGTAGCGTCCGATGCCCGGACGGTACACAGCCCAGTTGCTGAAGTAGCAGACAATGCGAGCCGGCTGATCGCTGGCCAGGATCACACAAGGCCAGCCACATAGCACGCCCAGCAGCAGCAGCAGCGGCAACATTCCGTGATGATGCACTAGGCGAGGGGTTAGAACAAAGAACTCGGATTGAATTTACTACGAAATCGATAAAGATCCCTCAGAGCCGCAGTTACGACTCGTTTTTCGAGATCAACGCGACTTGCATATATAATTCTGGGCATGTCGACAGTCGTCGTTCCCTGTTTTGTGTTGTTTCGGTTTATGGTGGTACTAAGGCTGTGTGTCCATAATGCTACCGCCACTCAAGTTCGTTCACCGATCGATGCCCACTCTGTATGCAGGGACAGGCTTACCCATTTCTTAATGCTCCAACACGATGCTCTGGCGACGATGGTATGGGAACAACTGGACGGGACTGGACTGGAGCCAACGATTGTGCGTTGTGCGTTCCTCTTGCGACGCTCGTTTGGCGTCAAATGACAGTCAAACTCTCGCCCGGCTTAGCTTTTATAGTGGGAGGCGATCGCGACTCGAGGCTGGCGTCCGGTTCTTTGTTCCTGCGTAAGGTGCGTGAGAGGCGCGACTCTCGTCTCGGACGATCTCGATGACAACGAGAGTGGGTTAGAGGAAAGAACGAATGACACTGGCAATCTGAACGCTTTTGTGCTGTGCTGTGCTCATTTCAAGATCGGGTTAACTTGTTTGTTTTCGTTTCGTCTGACGACTTTCTTTCCGATTGTTTTGCATTCGCATTTTATTTTACTGCCAGCTCTTAAGACTCCACTCCCCCCCACCCAAGCGTGCGGTTATTTATGTTCTAGAATTACCATATTTCTGGAATGGACTGGGACTGGACTGGAATGGACTGAAACGATCCCTGTAAGGGGCCTGGCATGCAAGAGTGCATCAGGTTAATGGTAATGGATAGATGGCTTGTGGTTAAGGCAGCAGCTTTAATACCAGGCAATATGTAGATAAAGCAGAATGAGGTCTTAGGTCTAGGTACGAGTATACATATGCACAATAGCTAGCCAATGCGTATGTCAATGGCCAAGGTGCTGTCTTCTGTGCTGCTGCTCAAGGGAGGCGCTACAGTGGTTGTCGTTGTGGATGTTACCGTCGCAGCTTTTGGGGGAGCTACGCTGCTGGTGCGTGTCTGACTGGCACCTGGCCGGAAGTCACCATTATTGTCTGAAACGTAGTGAATGCTTTAGATAACAGTTTACAGCATCTAAGGGGTATGCCTTACCCTTAAAGGGCTCCAGTTCGGCCTTAAAGGGACGCTGCTGAATGTCGTGTCCGGGCGGACCAAAGCCTGGGAACGGCCCAAAGCCGTTCGGATACGGATCGAAGCTTTGCGGTGGTCCATGGTAATGGTCCGGACCAAAGCGCTCGTGGCTACCGTGGTGGCAGCTCGGTCCGGGGAAATGGTGATCCCAGTGTCGCTTGTGGTGATGGTGTCTGTGGCTACTGCTATCTCCGTGGTGTCGCCGATGTCGCTTGTGCTGGACATGGCTCAGGGCAGGCGCCACTTCTTGCTGCCAGGCCACGGCTGCCGATTCCTCGGCCAATAAATCTTGACTGGTGAAGGCACTAAAATGGGAACAGAGATGATGGCGACTGCAATGGAAACGCGACTAACGGTTACTGATACTGACGCATTCTCAATTGCTGGAAACGGTGCTGGGGCGGCCTGGAGCAGCATCTGCTTCTGGCTTATCACGGCCAGCAGCGCCAACTGTGTGAAATATGGAATTGGGATGGTGTTGGAAATTTACGGCACGCCAAGGGATAAACCCTTTATATATGTACTTACACAGGCGGCGACGGGGGCTAACATAATCCGTGGGAACCCTTGAATCTCGTATGTACCTCGAACCTCCTCACTCTTTAGACGCGCAGAGTCGACTAAAGCTGTCTTGCTTTAGTCTCACTTTGCTCCGCACAAATAATGTCGAGACAATGTCGCATATCGGGGTTTTTTCTGTCTTTATTTTGTATATGTACGAACGTATGTATTTGCTCCCTTACTCACTCAGATTTTGAGTTGTTTTTATGCGCATCATCAGCGTCCGACGCCATAAACCTGATTGGTTAATGATAATTCAGGTTTCCTCATATCTATACACATGTTTAAATACAGCCACATATAGTCTTCGGGCGTATTGTAATTAGCTTGAATGCAATGGGCCTGTCGCTGACCCTGCTTCTGCCCTGCCGCAAAACGCACTTTAATTGCCAATTGCCAGCTAATGTGACAAGTCTTTGTTAATTTTGCGGTCGAACATTCAACTGAATCACCATTTGACAGTGCTGAGAGAAGAGAGTGTGAAAATGGTGCAGATTAACGACTTGGCATACTCGTAGATGAATATGTATGTACATATATTAATTGGGCGATCCCAGATCACTCTCGATGTGGGCGAGCTGCGAGTCACGATTATGTTAATCGGATATTGAAATTTGACCGCTTTTAGAAAGCTATCGAATGCTCTACATTTGACCCGATACACCCACCACACGCCACACGCTTTCTGGGAAACGAATCCAATCCAAGTACTGGATGTCGCGTACTCTTTCGGCTGTCAGCAGCCAGCGGCCGGCGCGGCTCATTGTGATTCATGGCAGCACTTGGAGGCTAGGCTCCACCCCTTAACATTGATCTTGAATAATGCCGGCAATTGAGGCGGTTCCTCTTCCGTGAAACCTTCGAGCTGTAACCGGACAATAACCAGACCCCTTGGGTAATTTGAATTTTCAACTATAATCTTTATTGATAACATTTCTCGTTCGTTCGCAGTTTATCGTCTTCAACTCTTATCATATTATGACGTACAGTTTGTATATGTATTTGTATATTTATTTATATGTATAGTATGTATATAGATGTATGTATATATAGTATGTATAGTATTGTATGTATATGCAATAAATATTTGTTGTGTTTGTGGTACGAGTATCTAGGGAGTATGCGTGCGTTCTATGCTTAGTGCAATTGCAATTTCAATTGTAACCTCGATAAGCCTGACAATCTACATATATGATTGGACTCTGCCTAAATGTGTGTGTTCCGTGTGGGTGTGCACGAACTTAGGAGAATAACTTGAGAGCAAATAATTTACATATGTATACACATTCCATATAGCACCGCGAAATGTACAAACAACTTGCTGAATCTTGGGGGAACTTAGAATTAAAGATAAAATAACCTTAAACCATACGTAGCGTAGCAATTAGATAAAACATAATCATCGCGATAACAACTAAAAGCTAACAACTTAAAATATATTTTTGTACAATTTTTGCGTGGATTGGATACATAAGTTTACAATATATTGAATTTATATTCATCTCTCTATATATTAACAATTTATCGTTGTTGTTCTTGTGGGCTAGGACGATACGATATAAATGATTACTCATGCATATATGTATGTATGTACTCGTATATGTATGTATGTATAATTGCGAATAGCTAATGCGACTTTCAATAACTTTTAAAGTTATATAGACATTAAATTCAACCAGCGATTGCGTACGAGTATAATTATTAAACATATCCATATCTGTAGCTGTATCCATATCTGTATCCATTGACTTGCATTTGTTTAAAAACATCCATCCAGCCATCAGCATGATCAATGCGTGACCTCTCTTCCCCTCCGAGCTCTTCTCTTTTCACTTTAATTGCCTGGCTAATTGACCTACATTTAAATAATTATGTGTACGTGTGTATTTTTATAGCATTATGCCTGTTTAAATATGTATCTTTCATTTAATATTAATATATGCATGTCGTAGTTCAGCGTTGCTTTTTCATTTATCATTTTCTCGTTTAAATACAATTTAATTATATTTGCCGTCCCTTCATTTATTCATGTGTAAATATTATTCCATTATTAATATTTGCGATAGGTACATTTTGGAAAATTTTTTGCAAAGGTCTGAAGTGCTTTGAGTGCGCTGTGCGTTCCCCTTCCCCTCTCTCTCTCTCTCTCTGTCTCTCTCCATAGGAATGATGCTGAGTGAGTTGTGATGTGGAGACTCTATTGTAACTATGCTGCCCCATGCTGTTGCTGATCTTAAAAACTTGGATTGTATCAAATGCATTTAATATTGGCTCCAAAAATTGTTCAATTGTTGTTACTGGTTGGTTGTTGGTTGTTTTGGTTGTTTGTTTGCGCTACCCTTGAAAAGTCCGTTACAAAAGTCTTTAAAGTTATTGTTTTTAGTTGCCATGAATAAGTTTTGACCATCTGCCCATCACCTCTAACCTTTCTAGTCTGTAAGGCTGCACAGGAACGTGTTTGATTCGACTCATCCATTGCTGATACAGCTTATGTAAACCCCTACAAACATACGCAGACATAGCAGATACTTCTACGAGTATATAGACCCTTTTTCTACAGTTCAAGAACGACCGATAATTGTGTGTAATTGATATCGTTTGAATGACTTGCAACACGCTTACATTGATATGTTGAATCTTTGATTTCCATATTGTATATGTTGTATATATATATCTGTATCTGTATCTATATATCATAATATGCATTAACAATCAATCGCTTACTGACTCTCACAAAAATTCGTTAATTTCCCCCCGGCTCTACTGACTTCGATTTGTAATAGAATAGTCTCCGATATTCAACAGATATTCCCATATATAACTCAGTCACATTAAGAATTGATACGATTTTCAGTTAAAATTTTTAGCAAATTTCCTAGTTTGATTCTGAAGATAAATGCAGCGCATATTGTGCTTGATTATTATACGAGTATTCGCTAATCGGAGTTAGTTATTTAGTTGATTTCGTTTAGCTGTAGAAGTTATCCCGTTGCTGGTACAGCGGCAGTGATTCGGTCGGTGAATCCGATCCTCGCTCCTCGTCCTCGCTGCCCTGGCTCGATCTGTTGGCCGCCTTTGACATGGCTTTCTCTGTGGGTTGACAAGAAATAAAAGAGTTAGTTCCACTTCGTTCCAGGCTCCCATTTCCGTTCCCGTTCATAGGCAAAACACCTTCTTCCCAAGCGTGCTGTAAAAGTTTTCGAGTATAAAAAAAGTACACCGATAACCAGTTCTATCCAGTATCGTATCTGTGTCTGTTGGCTTTGGTTGTGTAGGTTTTATTTTGTAAAAGGTTGTGTGTCTGTTGTGTTGTGTATCTGTTCTGCCGCTGCTCCTTGTGCATCGGGTATATACTTACTCATATGGGCAGCGATTTAGCGCCTTCTTGACTCTTTTCGACAACTTTAAACGCATTTTAGGCAGTGCAGCAATTTTGTTTAGAAACTAAGCAATTGGCTTGAAAATTTGAGTTAAAAAACTATCGCAAACATCTATGGTAACATATCTCCTTGATTTTAAAATCCCTAATTAATTTCAACATTTTGATGTACCAATATTATTGATCCTTATATTAAGCTGAATTATTTTCCTACAATCGAATTTTCGCTTCAGATATTAATTAGATTAAAAGATTTCTTCAAATGATTTTGATTTCTTTATATTTTTTACCCTAAAAAAGTTGTTCTTAAATTTCAAATAGTTTTATTTTTTAATCTACATATATCTCCCTATATCCCTAAATTCCAATCGACTTGCTTTTCGGTGCGGACTCTCTATAGAGTGTTTCTAGTGTTTTTGAGTGTTTGGTTAGTTTTTCTTTGCCTTTGTGTGGTGTTTTTTGTGCCTTTTCTGGTTAGATTGGGTGTTGGGGTGCAATTTGAATATATAAGTAGATTATATAGTTATAGATAGGTATCGTTATGGCGTGCAGGCTGATCAGTTAGGCCAATGTGGTTTCTAACAAACTAGGCAGAGTTTTTTAGGCGTGATTATGGTATGGCATGGCATGGAAGCTACGTACAGGACACTCGTCTCCAATAGTAGTGGACGAGTACTACATTTATGAATATTATATATATGTAGGGTAGGTATGTTTTATCGAAACGTGTACAAACCTTGACTTACGGATTCAAATCGTATTTTTCTGTTGTTGTTCTTGTGCTTGTTGTAGTTGTTGTTGTTGTTGTACTTGTTCTTGTTGCTATTGCGTTGCTGTTTATTCTTGTTGTCGGTTTTTAGTATTTTTGTTGTTTGTGAATTTTTGCGTTTTGTTTGAAGTGAGTTTGAGTTTACTTTTGAGTGAGTTTTGCATGCTGTAAATCTCAACTGCTGGTGTGTTCTTGTTGCTGTTGCTGTTGCTGTTGTTGTTGCTGTTACTGTTGTTATGGCAGTTACTGTATACTTAAGTGTACCGTTCTATGTATGCATAGTATAGTATAGGTATTTGCTGTTTTGATAGCGCGAACCGGGTGAATATACGAGTGTCGTGATGAGAACGAAACGCTCCTCACAATCACAATGTATGTAAATGCATTCGAGTACGGGTACGAGTACAAATAATAAACACAAAATGTGAACAGAAACAACACGACTGGTCTACTGGGGCAATTAATTAGTTGTGACTAGTGGGATTGCCTAGAAGAATGCAAAACAAATAAAACAAATTATAAAAAATGCAAATAAACTATAAAATAAATTAAACAGGTGAATGTAAATGTAAAAAGTCCTAAAAGTCTTCAGCTTCTGCTTGATATGTACTTGGTGTACTTCCATTAACGAGTTCATAGAACTCGCAGCGATTGTTACTTAATTTATGATTAATTATAGTACATCAACTGGACAGGTGCTATGTACGTACATATGTATGTATGTATGCATGAGAGGGCAATGTGGGCCACAAGTCTGAGGTGTATGATTGACTGCTGCAAGTGTCTGAAAGTGTTCTGTGTGTGTGAGATTTTGAGTGTGAGTGAAAGGTTTATGAAGTTTTGAACGTCGCCGATGAGCTCGCAATGAGGTGGAGGGGAGATGATCATAGAAATCTTATTTAGAATGGGGCATAACGCATTTGATTAGATGGTATGCATATGATATATGTATATTATCATTAATCATCTAGAAAATCAGAAAGAGTTGAAAGACAGATATATAGATTAGAAGAGCATAGAGTTGACAGAGTTTTTGAATGGGGGGAAAACACAGTCGCAGATAGTACAGGTGGGCGTGGGGCGGGGTCTCTGGCGTGAACTCTGAGATATATACATATTCATACATAATACATAGATATATTGGCTTTGTAGACATAACGATTTGGAGAGCGTATTAGTAAGAACATAAACATTGAACAGAAACTCAACTTGCAAGGCATTGCATTAACATTTGAATGGGGATTTGCTTAGGATATCAATTAGAACTTAGCACAAAGGTATGGTATGGTATGGTATGGTAGACCTATCTGAGCCATTGAGTACTGCACTTACCGGCCACAATCTTGCTGACTTGCATCACCTGCTGGGCCAGGATCTGGTTGAGCTGCAGCAAGTGCTCGCGCTGCTTCTTTTCCGCTGTGATTTTGCTCGGCGGCAGGCTCTCGTTCTCCTGTAAATATACGACCGGTTAATCGATCCATTAATCGATAAATTCATTGACTGAGAGCTTAAGCACTTACGTTGCTGCTAATAGGCGCCTCGGCCAGCATCTTCTTAATGGACTCGACCTTCTCCTGGCGACGTTTCTTCTCCTCTGGCGATAGTTCGGGCGTCTGTGGCATACATCAAATATGTAAATGATTTGGTCTCAAATTTTTCAAATGCAGTACTCACTGTTTCTGGTATGTAACGCTCGGGAATGACTATTTTGTTGGGGGCCAAGAGCAAGTTATCAATGGTATTCTCAGAGATCTTCTCTCCCTGTCCCAGTGCCGAACGCACCACATCGGGGGCATTCATGCGCGGCCTCAGGGCCACCTCCATGTCCAGATCGTCGCGGGCTCGCCAGTTTGTGTTCTGCAAGTATCGGGTGACCAGTTAGTTGTGATTCTTAAGAACCCTTGTGCTTTGGATACTTACATTGCGATTCATGTCATTCTCCGCCTGCACCTTCTCCATGGCCTTCTGGTTTACATTGTTGGGTGCAGTATAGTGACGTCGCTTCTCGCGGGGCACTGCCCGTCGATGTTTGTGCGGCGGCGGCACCTTCTCGACAATCTTCTCGGTGTCCTCCGACGCCGAGCCAGCGGACATCTCATTGATGATCTGACGAGCGGCCACGCTCTGGAACACCGGCTCGGGGCTGATGTCCGTCAGGCTCTTGTTGAGGCTCTGCAATGAGTCTGTCTTGGTGCGTAGTGCCACCCTGGCACTGTCCCGCGAGGGATTCGCCTGCTGCTGCAGTTGCTTGGCGAAATAGGCATTGGCCAGAGGATTCAGATGCTCCCGCTGCTGCTGGTGGTGGTTCTGATGATGGTTCTGATGGTGGTGGCCATTGCTCTGTGGTATTGGCGCCGATGACGGTGCTGGTGGTGGCGGCGGCTGATGCTCGTAGTTGCTGTTCCTGTCATAATCGTAGCTGCTGCCGTTGAAGTGGTGGCCGTTCTGCTTCACGGCTCCACCGCCGTTTATGTGGCGACTGTTCCTAGGCTTCGGTGGCTCGCTGTAGTTCCGCGGCAACGACTTTGAGCGGCTATGATGTCCGTTGGTCATCTGCTCCTCCAGGCTGTGGCCATACAGTTGCTGGTGCTGCTGCTGATGAGCTAGCTGTTGCTGCTGCTGGGCGTACTGTTCCTCCTCCAGCACCTGGTCCAGGTTCTGTATGGAGTTGCTGAGACCACGCTCGCTGCGATCGCGATGACGACGCTCCGACTCCCGCTTCACGATGCGAACCGTTTTGATCTCCTGCTTCTCGAGATTGCTCAAATTGGCGAACGGATTGCTGTCCAAGAAGCCATCGCTGTCCACGCCACTCATTTCCAGGGCATCGCTGCTGCCGCCTCCGTTGTAGCGATTGTAGTCGCTCAACTTGGCCGAGCTGTTGGTGTCCACATAGAGCGGTGTGGACAGATTGAGGGTCGAGTCGTTGAGGTTCTGCCGACTGCCGTTCCATTGCTGCATATTGGCATCCAGATCGGTCTCTGTCCAGCTGGTCGAGTTGCTGCGCTTCTTGAGGCTGCCATTGGTGGAGCCACCCCCATTGACGGCTGTCATTTCCTTGTTGCCAATCTCCTGGTACAGACGCGTCGAGTTCTCCGTGAGTTGACGCACGGCCGAGCTCAGTTCATGGCGCTGTCGCTGCATGTCGCCCACCAGGGACTGCACCCGCTCCAACTCCGACTGCAACACGACAGCTGTCTGGTCGCCGCCATTCACATGGGACCCATCGTTGGCCAACATGCCGTTGCTGGTGCTGGCCCGCGTGGCCTGTACCTTCTGGCGGAGCAGGAGCAGCTCTTGCTCGAGACGGGCATTTCCGGCTACGGTTTGCTCCAGTTTCTGCAATACAAGATTCGGGGATGATTAATCGGTTCAACGCTTTGGCTGTGGCACATGCAGATGAAAGGCGGTTGGTAGAAGTCTTTTGCATTCAATCGTTTGTCACTGCACCGAGGGAACGAAAACGAACCAAATCTCGTGATGACCTGAAGACTTTTTCCCCCAAGCGAGGAGCTCATTGGAATATTAGTTTATGTTAGACTTTAGGTTTTACAATGATTTTCATTAGTTACAGAAGCGACATGCGAAGTTCAAGCAGACAAAAAACACGTAGCTGCAAAAAACTTCTACTAGGCACCTTGGCTACCTTTGAGTTGTCGGCCAGCAGCTGGTGGACACGCGACAGCTCGCGCTCCAGGATGTGCTGCTGCTTCTTGGCCGCCTCCAGTGCCATGGGAGTGGCGTTGCTGTCGTGGATGCGTGCCCGCAGGCCGCCCAGGGCCCTCTCCAAGTCCTCCTTGTCGCGCTGCAAGCTCTGCAAGATGCCCGACTCTTCCTGCAGCAGCTGATCGAGCTGGTACAGCTCTCGTACTTTGGCCTGAACCAACAGATTCAATTCAACATTGGAATACTTAACAAATCAAAGGTGAATCGAACGCACCTGCAACTCTGCCTGATTGGGGCTGAGGCGTTCCCACTGTTTTTGCTCCTCCTGCAGCATCTGGCGCTCCTGCATTCGCTGATTGAACTCCAGGCGATCCAGAGTGGCCGGCTGAGCCCGCCCGTTGGCATCGTTGCGGTACAGAGAGCCCAGCTTTACCATGTTGTCCACCAGATTGACCAGCGGCTTGCTCTTCTCGTACTGCCGCTCCAGGTCGAGCAGGTGCTGCTTCAAGTAGTCCAGTCGCTGGATGCTCTCTGCTCGGGTCAGACCCTCGGCACTGCGCAGGCGGTTCTGTAAGGGGTTTCCATATAGAAGAAAGTGTTAGTGGTGTCTAAAGTAAAGGCGGATCTCAAGTTAAGTGAAGTTTAAGATAAGCGAGATGATTAGTCACAGGCAACCAGCACCGTTAGTTAGTCAAAGACAACCCCCCACCCCCAACCACCGACAGACATAAATAATCATTCGGGTAGCCACCTGAACATCATGTATATCGCTGCAGCACTGCTCGATGGCACGGGCTGTCTGGCTGCTCTGGCGTCGCAGCTGTATGAGCAGCAGGACCAGCTCCTCGTGGGTGCGGCTCAACAGATCGCCTGCCGACACATCCAAGTTCTGTGGGTGGTGCGAAATGGTAAGTACTTGACTGGATGCACTCGACCCCGACTGGTACATCTATCAGTGCCCCTTCCCTGGTGTGGCAACTTACCCTAATCTGGCTGCTCGTCTCCCGCTCTAGCATATCGATTTCCGCCCGACTGCCGACACGTCGCATCCGGAACTGCTGCTGCTGCTGCTGCTGCTGCTGATGCTGATGCTGCTCCTGCTGTTGCTGATGCTGCGGCGTGGATGTGGATGTGGATGGACCAGCTCCAGAGGCGTAGAGGCCGCGATCCGTCAGCACTGTGGCCTTGGCGTATTTCGTTTCCGCGGCGCTGCCATAGTAGGGGGCAAAGGCCGACTCCTGCTGGCCATCGGATGGATCCGGCTTCACTGTCAGATTCCCCATGGGCAAATTGTTCACATTGCGCACGGAAATCGAGGCTACAAGTCGGAGATGGATTTATTAAACAAATATTTCAGACTGGGAGCGGGGCTTAAAATAGTTTAAATGCGTGCGCGAAATATTTAGGAAAGCAATCAGTAATCAGTATTCGGTAATCGATAATCGGTAATCGGAAAGGAATTCCCAGCAGTTTATTTTGCAATTAGTTTGTTGCCTCATTTTTAGAGGCACATATATCAATAAACTACAGTCTAAGCTAAAAGCCAAGCGGTAACTGGTATATAAAAAACGTTTTGGTTTTTCTGCTACTGCTTTTGGTAATTGATAAATGGTAATTGGTTTAACTGCCCATAATAATACAGAATATAATACAATTAACGTATTAATGGTGTTCAAAATTTACAGCGTGTACATGTGTGTGTGAGATGGGTGCTTCTGTGTGTGAGAGTGAGGCGTATTTACAGGCGCTTTAATGACTTAATGAGATATATGAATAGGATTGATAAAAGTTGAAATTTGCTTACCAGTTGATTAACTAAACAAAACAACATAACAATAATGACAACAACAACAACAACAACAACAAAACAAACATATCTCTGCATGAATACATGTGTGTGTATCTGTATCTGTGTGTGGTTTTTGGACTTCAACACTAAATGTCTGTCTAAATTTACAAACGAGTGCAAACAGAAGTACACAGAACACAGAACATGATGAGCAGGCAGGGCAAATACACAATAAAACTGGACAACAGAACAGAACAGAGCAGAGAGTGCGAAAACTAAATGAGAAACTACGAAAAGTATAGCATATTTTGTCGGGAACCGTGTTCAGTTGTTGTTCCGCGACTTTTGCACTTTGGGTGCTGGGGAGAATCCCTCAATGGGATTACCATTGTCATCGTCGGTATTACTTTGGCCACTGCCATTCAGCTGCTGGATGATGGAGCGAACACTGCTGGTCAGCGGCAGGCTGACCTTGGGCCCACTGCTACTCGCACTGCGTGTGGATGTGGGTGTCCTGGCTGATGTTGCCATTGGCGCTGCGGTCTCCACATTGTGGCTGGTGGTTTTCATTAGGCCACTTGACATGGCATCCCATTGGCGGATGGTTTCGCGATCCAGTTCGTTCGATTTGTGCGACAGATTCGAGGCTGTGTCCTCGCGCAGCACCTCGTACACATCCGAATCGGTCTGATCCTGGCTGTGAGTGGTCTGAGAGCTGTTGCCCATCAGCTGCACATAGACATCGTGCTCGTCGCTGGCCGACTGTTGGTGCCGCTGGGGAGGCTTCTGGCTGTCATTCACATAGGTCACCTCACGGCTGAGCTTGGTCTTGGGCGTGCTGCATATGGGGCCGGCGGCGATCCTGTCGAGATCGTCCAAGGAGCGAGCATGCCGCTGCGAGACGCGACGCAGACTCTCCCGCCACAGGGTGTCCTCCTCCCAGAGCAGTTCGCCACCTAGAACTGAGAGTTGATTGCCATTATTGCATGTCACTCGTCCTGCTGTTAGTAGTGGCCCTCCTTCTGGGCCAGCCGACTCTGCAGAGGGTCTGCACTTGTCCACACCCACACCATGAACGTTAACACCATCGTTACCGCTATCGCTATGAGGTCCTTCATCCAAGAGGCTACCACCAATCGATTTACGAGCGAGATTTGTGTTTTTAGTAGTTGTGAGAAATGAATGGGCTGGGTTTAGTGGATGGCTCTGGGTCCCGCTGCTGCTGGGGCTGCTGCTGCTGCCGCTGACCCCGCTCTCTCCTGCTGGCCCCTCCACTGCCTCGCCGCCCACAAGCTGCATGTTGTTCAGCTTGAGCTGCGCCTGGCCCGCCTTCAGGTTCAGGTTCTTGTTGCTGCTGTAGCTGAGCTTCTCGTTGTTGGCCTTCACGCAGTACAGATTCTTGCTGTCGATGGCCTGGTCCTTGTCCACCAGGGCATCCATATTAAACTGGTGCCGATCGATGGGATTGTGAATGTGGGCAATGTTCAGGCCATGGGCGTGGATGTCCCGCTGGTTGTTCAGCGGCAGTGGTGCCGGCAGCTCGGAGTAATAGTACGGAGCCGATTGCGTGGATATGTTGCTGTTGTTCCGGCTGTGCATGGGCGTGAGGTAGGCAGCCGCTGCCGCTGCCGCTGCCACAGCCGCTCCTCCTTCGCCCAGCTGCTGGATGGAGTCCGTGGAGGAGAGGAAGTGGATGTTGCCGTAAAAGTGCTGCTCCCCGTCGCCGTCATCCGGATTGCGGAACGTCTTCGGCGGCTTGATCAGATTGGTCAGAATATCCGCGCCGGCCGCAGCATTGGCATCGTTCAGCAGGTGGCTGGTGGGCGTGGCATGACTAGTGCTCGTATGCTGATAGGGCAGCAGATCCCTGCCCTGGAGATGGCTCAGGTACGTGTCCAGCTCGTGGCTGCTCAGAGTCTCCTCGAACTGTTCGCTCAGCGACTCGATCTCACTGATCGACTCCTGGGAGAGGGGTCGCCGCGACCGCTGGCGATCCAGCTCCGAGTCCGACCGCTGCCTAAACTCCACGGACGACTCGTTCTCGCTGCTGTCCCCCACATAGCGCAGGGGCAGGGAGTTATTGCTGGGACACCGGGCCGGCGACGGACGCTGCTGTCCTCGCTTCCGATAGAGTTCCAGGTCCGAGGAAGTGCGCGAAGAGCTGTTGTCCGTCTGGCAGCTGTAGTTCGAATCGGACAGAGTGCGGGCGTGATGCTGCTTCAGCAGAACAGTGGGCGTGGCATTGCCTTTGATGGCCGTGGCAGCAGCCCGCGATACGGTGCCACCACGCGCCTTGGCAAAGTGGTCGGGCAGGGAGAGGCGACTGCTCTTCAGCGTGGTGCTCGGATCGGTCTTCGACAGATTGAGGGACGTATTGCTGGCATGCATCTTGGGCAGCTGCTCGTAGGACAGGTTCACCTTGCTGTCGCGCCTCTTCACGGTGTCGTAGTGCTCCGAGGAGAAAATCTCCTCGGTCTTCAGCTCCTCCATGGGCGGCGGGGAGTCGGGAATGGGCGGCGGGGGCAATATTTCGCTATCCGAGCTCTCCGCATAGTTGTTCAGCGGCGTGGAGGCGCCCAGGTAGTAGGACGCCGGCCTAAAAGTATCCGACAGACTGAAACGCGACCGCGAGCGCAGCTTTTTGGCCTCCAGCTGCTGCCTGCTGCTCTCGTCGTCGGCGTCTGAGCTATCGCTGGCTAGGGCCAGGGCACTTTTAGCTGGCTTCAGTATATCCGGCATGTCCTTGCCCTGCCTCTTCTTGGACTTCTTCTTCAGAGTCTCCGTGCCGGATTTCTTACCCTTTTTCAGCGTAGAGCGACCTGAAGAGCAGTGTGCCTCTTCGGCTGCTGTGGCTGCTGCCGATGCCTTGACCCCTGCCAGCTCCATGTAAACAGGCTCCGCTTTGGTTATTTTGCTGCTGCTAGTGCTGGCAATGCACATGATCTCGTAGTTGTTTCTGCCGTCCTCGTCCTGAATGCCCTTGGTCATTTCCACATAGTGATTCTCCTCCTCCAAGTAGCTGTCGTGCGTGGCCACCAGGCTGAGGGTGCCTGGTTGACCCAGTTCCACCTTCTTGGGTGTCATAGGCAGATAGTGGCTCTCATCGAACTGCTGATCCGTGGGCGTAATGGGCTCGTTAACATAAAGCTGCTGCAGCTCCTTATCACTTGGGAGGTCAGTCATGTCAGCCGACGACGCCTCCTTCTCCTCATAATCATCATCATCATCATCATCATCATCATCATCATCTTGTGCCAAGGCCTCGTCAATGTCATCATCTGTGTACTCCTCACAGGCAGTGCTCTCATCCTCATCATCCTCCAATTCATCTGCATAGGCATCGGAATCGGCATCGCCATCCCCATCTGCCTGTATATCGTCTCTCATTCGAGCTGCATCATCATCATCATAATCTATAGAGGCCTCTCCTAGTGGAGGCCTGCTTTCTGCCGTTGGCGTTAAATCGTCCTCGGTCTGTTGCTCCTCCTGCCTCTGCTGCTGCTGCTGCTGCTGCTCCTGCTCCTGCTTTTGTGCGGCCTCTTGTTGCTGCTCCTTAAACAGCTTTAGCTGCATCAGCATTGGTGTCTCCTCGGGATCATTAATCGCCACACTGTCCTGGGACGGTGCCTGTGCCTGTGCCTGTGTATGTACCTCTGCCTCTGCCTGGGCTTGGACTGGGCTCTGGATTGGCTTGCCAAATTCCATGTTTTCGTAGTTGCCGCTGCTGACCAGCTTATTGTTGTATACGGGAACATAATTGGCATTCTGCGGCGACTTGGGCGCTGTTTTCTTTGGCAAAATGGGAACGGGCTGCTCCCCATCCTCCCCATCTATGTCCGCCGGTGGCAATTGCAATTTCAGTTTAGGCCTCTCTTCGGGCCGTTTGGGCTGTACCTGAATAATGGGCGTTCTGCTGGCCTCGTGCACTTTCAGAATGGGTTTTAGATGGAATTTTGCATTGATTGTTGGTGTCGTTGTTGGCGTTGTTGGTGTGTTTCCTTCTCCTTTTCCTGTTGGTGTTGTTGTTGGTGTTAAACTGCTTAAGTTGTTGCTACTACTAAGTCTTTCTATTGTTGTTTTGTTCGTTTCTAATGCTATTGTTGTTGTTGTTGTTGTTGCTATTGCTATTGTGTTTCCTGTCGTTGTTGTTGTTGTTATTGTATTTTCATTAGTCGTTGTTGTTTCTGTTGTAGACCTTCCTGCCGCGCCACCATGATACCCTGTATCATCCACAGTCCCATCTGCGTGTTTTATCGTGCGTTTTTGTTTTATGTTTTTGCAAGTATTTTTTAAAATCGATTTTGATTTTTTTTTTACATTTACAACATTTACAAATTGAAAAATTGTATTTTTTTCGTTTAAAGAGAGCCAAAAATTAACGTATACACAACGAGAATATTTATATTTTTTATGTGGAAAAAGAAGAAATATAAAACAAATATTTTTATATCTTGCTGGTTTTGTAATTAAATTCAATCAGAATGGGTGTTCGATTGCGCTATGATCCCAGATTGAGTTTGAGTTGAGTTTTATTTCGTTTTTTTTGTGGTATTTTTTTTGTATTTTATTGGGGTTTAGTGCGAAGTTTACAGCGGCATTTAGTAGTAGAAATACCAATCACCCAATCATGTACGAAGTCGAAAATGAAATTAGCTACGCTAGAGATGGAATTTTGTGGAATATTTTTGGAGATGTTTTATACCATTTGCAAAGCTAAGCCCATGAAATAAATACATGTAAAAATAAAGAAAGAGAGAGAGATATATATATAGAGAGAGAGATGTGACTACATAGATATTTGTTTATGGATTATTCCGTTTTCCATTTTCCATTTTTGTTGAAAGAATGAAATGTAAAAATGTACAAACAGACGCTGTCGAGGTACCGCCTGCGTTGCCTACTTTCGGGCATCGTCTTTTAATTATTCTTTATCATCATTTATCGCATTTGGAAGTTTCTATTGTGCATGTGTGTGTGTGTGTGTGTGTTTGTTGTGTTTGTGTGTTTGTGTAGCTGCGTGTGATGTGTGCGGACGGCAGGAAGGTTTCTTGTTTTTTGTTTCAGTTTCGATTCGGTTCGTTTAACTCGATTATTTCCTGTTTTCCAATTAACTCTATTTATTAAATCATAAAAAATGCAACAAACAAATTGGGGCTGCTACCCCAGCAAACAAAAAAGCTCACAAATATTAAACTACTTGAAGCTTTTGTGTTGTTAAGTCTGGCCATGATAAATTAGCATTGAAATGGGGGAAAGCTTACGTATACTAGGTTAATGGGAAAAGGATTGGCTGGTAAGGTTGGTAAGGTGGAAAGTACGCTGAAAAGGGCTTTTAAATATTGTCTTAAAGCTCAATTCAGAATGGGAACGCAACGGTTTCCAGCCAAGTGTAAGCCCTGGGCTTAGCCCGGAGGAAGGAATTACGCAACTACAAAACAAGAGGAGCGGGAACGGGAGCAGGAGCAGGCGCAGGAGGCAAAGTAGAGACCGTCTCGGTAGGGACAACATGCAACTAATTGAAAGCAAAGCAAGAGAGCAAATAAAAGTAAAAGTAAAAGTAAAGAACGCAGCACGCAGCACGCGGTTAGCAACAGCTACAGATACAGATATAGCTACAGATACAGATACCGATACTGATGTACAGATACAGATACGGAATAGAGACAGATGCAGAGAGATACAGTCGTAGCACATAGGAGGGACAGACAGAGTGAAAGCAAAGCAAAAATGGGAAATACGTATGGGATGCGATCAAGCCGGTGTTTGGACTCACCCTCATCGTCCGAGGAGTAGCTGTTGTACACTCCGCCGGGTCCCACATTGGCCTGAGTCTCCGATCTGGAACGTTGTATGCCTCCGGCTGGGGCCGGATTGGCTCCTCCACCAGCGGCAGAGCTGCCGCCGTTGACCAAGAGGCCCGTCTTGCCGGCCTGGGGGCCATAGCGTGCGCCACTGGCCACCGCCGTCGAGGAGAGCAGTATGTTCGGGTTGCTGCCCAGCTTTGACATGGCGGACATGTTGCTGCCGCCCTGCTGCACGCCCTTACGGGTGAGAGGGGACTGCAGCATGCGCTGCTTCCACTCCAGAAGCCGCTTCATTGACTCCTCCCGCTTGCGCTCCCCCTCTTGGGCGTGCTGCGGCGAGGGCACAGCCCCCGATGTGGGCGATGTTGTGGTCGAGTTGCCCGCCGAGTAGTCGTCATCCATGCCGCCGCTGCGCTTCGGTAGCCGGGCACTGGCCGAGCGCAGGAACTGCTCGTTCTTGCATATGATCTCCTGCGTGGACATCGAGGGCGGGAAAATGGAGCCCGGATGCACATTGAGTGGAGGCAGCTCCTCCGAGTGCTGCTGCTGCAGCTGGTGCTGGTGCTGCTGCTGTTGTGGCAGGGCGGAGGCAGAGCGGGCCACCGACCCACAGCCTGCCCCCTGGCTGGCCGAGCGACTCATGCGTGGCATGCTGCTGGCGACGCCACCCTGGGCCTGGGCCTCGGCCAGCAGTTCCTGGCGCTTGTACGCCCGCTCGTAGGGATTCTCGTATCCAATGGTGTTCACGCCCGACCCAAAGTCCCCGGCTGCGGTGCGATAGCTGCCCGCCTGCTGTGGCTGCGCTGCGCCCGCTCCTCCGCTCTGCAGGTAGAGCGCACTCTTGCGCATCTTCTCCGCGTAGCTGGCCTCCGAGTAGTAGAAGCTGTCCGGAGTGCGGTTGATGTCCAGGCTGGACTTGGGTCGCGGGGCACGTCCGCTTTCGTGCTTGCTCTGGGCCACCGCTGCGGCGGCCGCAGCTGCAGCGGCCTCGGCACGCGCCTCATACTCCAGAAAGTCAGCCGAGTGTGGTCGCACGATGGCCGCTGCGGAGCGGGCACGCAAGTCCATGGTATTGATTAGCTGATCAGCGTTGGCCTGCGGGGAGGAATAAAGAGAATGAGCAAGCAAGAGAGGGGGTTATGTTATGTTATGTAATGGCTGGATGGCTGGCTGGTTGCTGGGTGGCTGGTAGGGCGGTTGGCATTTTAAAACTGCCGCTGGGAGATTGGCGTGGCCCGTAACTTGTTCGACACTTTGCACAGGCGAAGGCACACACACGGAGGCACAGCTGCTCCTGGCCAGGCCCAGGACCGGGCCCATAAATCATGCACGCTACTCATTTCCTGGCCGTCTTGGCCGTCTTGGCCGTTTGACCCACAAAGCAGCTGCTCAAGTTCCTGCTCCTCCTCCTGCCACGTCTGCCAGTGCCTCATAAAGTTGCATTTGAAGGAAATTGCAGCGCCCGACCCATGGGTGAACAAATTTCTGCAATTTAGCAACCCACTGACACACTAACGTCCAATTAAAGAGTGCGCGCGGGCAGCCAGCAAAGTGCGGGGGCTCGAGAGGCGTCTGGGGTGGGCCTCCCAGCCGACTGCTGCTCGAAACGGAAAGTTTCCAGCTAAGACTCTCAGGTATTCTGTTGGCCAACAATGTGCATGGGGACGGGGAATGGAGAGGGAATGTTGCACTAAAAGGGCACTTCAGGCAGATGGACCTGAAATACGTTTTGTACTCGGCTTGATGGAGTCCTTCGCTGTATCATCCTGTGCCGCAGCTCACAGGCATCGTGTATCTCACAGGCAACAAGGCAACAAGGCAACACAGCAACATAATCAGAATTTATTCCTGCCCCGGCAAGGGCAAATAAAAGTGAAACCCTGCTACGTGCTGAGGTGGAATTCCGGGAAACTTTCGAACTAGGTCAGAGCCCCTCCTGGAACCCCCTTCGTGCTGCACTTCCAGCTCCATTCATTTGCTGCAATCAGACAACATCAAGTAGCATCGCAGATGATTTGATGGGATGACCTTCGCCCACGTTCACGCCCACGCCAACCTTAACGTCAACGCCAACGCTAACGCCAACACCCCCAAGTGCCCCTAAAGTTTCGAATGCGAAGGGATGCCATGGATACCATGGATACCATGGATATCAAGTGGCAGGTAATCAGAAACCGTGTGGCTGTTGCTGCTGGTGGTGGCATGCAACTTTGATTGCCTTCGGGGAGAATTGCACTTACCTCCAAGTGGTTGGGCGTGTATCGTTGGGGCATGGCCGGCAAATGCTTACTGCCATCGTAGCTGGGCGGGCTAAGGGGCCGTCGGTAGCTGGCCGCCTCCTGCAGCAGAGCCTCCTGGGCGGACATGGGCACTGCGCCACCGCCACCGCCGCCCAATTGCGACATGTTGTAGATATCCTCGTAGTCCGCTGCAGCTGCTGCGGCAGCAAAGAGGCGCTGTTGCTTGGACCGTCCATAGGCATCCGGAGTTCGTCGCTCGGCCTGCAGGAGCTGCTGCTGGGTGGGATAGCCGCCTCCGCCTGCGGCCCGCTGCTGCTGTATCAGCTTCGCCATGTATATCTCCCGCTCGCCGTAGATCTCCTCGGCGGCCCGCTGCTGCTGCAGTCGGACAATCTGCTCCTCCATGTCTAGCTGCTGCTGCTGGAACTGCGCCTCCAGATGATCCAGATTGTACTGCTGCTGGGCCTGCTGCAGCTGCAGGGCAGACGATACGTGGCCCGTCCTCGTGTCGTAGATGGCATGATGCTGCTGCTGCTGCGGCTGCTGTGGCTGCTGCTGAGATCGTTGTTGTTGCTGTTGTTGGTGCTGCTGCTGCTGCTGCTGATAAAGCTGCTGCGTGGGCGACATCAGGCGACGACTAGATGACTGCTGCTGCTGCTGCGGCTGCGGCTGTTCGTTGTGCTCCGGCGATGGGGAGGAGTAGCCGCCGTCGTTGGTGCGACGCGGCTTGGGCGGAGCATTGGCGTACAGGGGCTGGGCTCCACCGCCGCCAGTGCTTCCGGCGTTGTCCGAGGACGGCGTCGGCTGTCCCTTGCTGGGCTGCGATTGCAGGGTGTGGATGCCCGAGTCCGAGTTCTCCCCACTGTGGTTGAGGGAGGAACTGACACTCGGCTCCGATTCACCGCTGCTAGGAGCCTGCATCAGACTGGCCGCCGCCAGGGCTCGCACCCACTGCATCATGGCGTCGGCACTCTCCGCCGCCAGCCAGTAGGTTCTCATGTTCTGGTGCTCGCACTTGAAGGCAAACTTGCGGTAGATCTTGTCCTCCGGCAAACAGGCGGACACACGATACGAAGGCAACAGCACCGACCCCAGCAGCTTCTCCTCCTCGGGCCCCTTGTAGTAATACATGCAGTACTCGGCCAGGACGAACCACCGCTTGCGCCACACCTTCAGGCCATCGGAGCCCTGCTTGTGCAGCCAGCCAGACAGAGTGACGGGCGAAGTGGGTGGCCGCTTGGTGATAGGCGACTTGAGAGCCTGACTGGAGCCCGAGCTCTTCTTGCGATCGAGTGGCGCGTGAGTGGGACTCTTGGTAGATGTGGATGAGGACTCTTCGGAGCTGGGAGTCGCCTTGGGCTTCACCGTGGATATCTGGGTCTGACAGGCCTGGTTAACCACGTGTCCGGGATGATTCTGTTGGATGTAGACCGTCCCATGCTCGCTGCCTGGTGTCTGGAGATCTGCTTTATGGCGATGTTGCTGCTGCTGCTGTTGTTGTTGCTGTTGTTGTTGCTGTTGTTGCTGTTGCTGCTGAAGCTGGAGCTGTTGCTGGTGAGCATAAAGCTGCTCCTGGTAGTGCTTCGGCATCTGCGGTTGCTGCTGCTGATGCTGCTGCTGCTGTTGCTGCTGCTGCTGTTGTTGCAGCTTCAACGGACCCTGCGCCGGCTGGTATTGATTCTGCAGATTCAGCGTGGAGGGGGGAGCCCTCTGCTGCTGCTGCTGCTGCTGCTGTTGCAACAATTGCTGCTGCTGTTGCTGCTGCTGCTGAGTAATGGTCGTCATGTTGGACACCATGCTGGGGGACTGACTCATGTGGTAGTGGCCTGTCGGTGGATTGATGGCCTGACGCATAGCAAAGGTTCGCTGCTGCTGGTGGGCCGCCTCGTTCTGGGTGGCCAACTGGGCGTGCATCTTGGCCTGATGCAGCTGCTGGTACTGGGCCTGCAGCGCCGATATCGGATTGTGTCCGGCCATCGCATTGCTGGCCTGCAGCCGCCCCGCCGCCGCCAGGTAGGTGCGCTCCGTGGGCGACTGGTAGATCTGCTCGCCCGTCCCGCCGCTGCTCGAGTATGACTGATGATAGGGTGAGCTGTGGGAGCTGCTCGAAGTGCCGCCGTGGCCGTGCTTTATCAGATGGTGGTGCTTCGACTGCGGCTGCATCTCGATGGGGGAGAGGGGCCCGCCGCCGCTGGAGCTGGTGGCCGTGGGAGATTGCTGATACAACGCTTGGTGGTAGATCGCCGCCGGCGAATGTGTGGCCGTGCGGTAGTCCATGAGATTCGTTTGGTAGGCCAGCGGCAGCTTTTTCTGCTGCTGGGCGAGTATGGCCGCCTCCTGCAGCTGCTGCAACTTCTTGGCGTCCATGGTGCCGGCCGTGAAGAGCGGTGGCGCCTCCAACCTGCAATGAGAGAAAAAACCAAGCCGTTAAAAACTTTGACTGCATGTGTGTTTGGTGCCGGGGCAGGCGTAGAGCTGTAGAGCCGTAGAGCTGTAAAGCCGTAAAGCCGCGGCTGGGCCCTGCAATTTCGCTGAACGGAAACCCCATCATCGGAAGGCAGGTGCACTTGCTTGTCGCGTAATTGACCGTAATTGATTAACTGCAGTCCCAGCCACAGGCACAGACAATGACGCTGACGCTGCTGGGGCCGCAGACACACGGCTGACCTTGCCGTGCCGTGCCGTGCCGTACCGCAGTTTCGCAGTTTTCTCAGGGGGAGAACAGTACGAATACTCACCAATCCCACAGCTGATAGATGCAGCCAAACATTTTTGCACTTTTAGTCCCGCGTTTGCGTTTGCGTTTGCGTTAATTCAATTAATATCTTTAATTGGCCTTATTCCAGCTTTCGATTTGCGTCGATTGAATTGCACTAATTTCTTTACCGGTTCCCGTTCCCTCCTTCGCCTGTGCTTTTTATTCTAAGGATGGGTTTTGATTTTATTATTTGATTGGATGCGAAAAACTCAATTAAAACTTTTCCCCAATTGAATGGTTTCACAGTCTTTTTGTCGCGTATTTCCCCCGTGTGATATGTGGTGGGATATTTGCCTTGGTTTGTATGGCATTTTGGGTTCTTGGTGGCACTGCGAAAGCTGCGAAAATCGCGAAATGCATCTGCCGCCTGGCGGCAAATGGAAACTGTGAGAACGTGTCTATTTTTATTGGGGCATACCGCAGATTTAGTCGTCGCGGGCAAAGGAAAAACGTTTCGGCCAAAGGCTCACAAGCGAAAGCGAAACGACGAGAACGACCCACAGAGAAAGCGAAGAGAGAAAAGCGGAGAGGATGGCCAACAAGAGAACCGGAGAGGACGGCCAAGAGAGGAAGAGAACCACAGAGAGAAGGAAAATGTAAAAGAAAATTCTAACCATTTATTGGAATGAATTTTCCGATTCAATTACGAGTATATTTCCGGTTGCCATATTCAATTGGGAATCTCCGTGCTTTCTCCATCAAGAACATAAAAGAAAATAAAACATCTCCAAGGAGAAAATTAATTTCCATTGAAAATACCCGTTAAATCGCACACGGAATCGGGTTTAATGCCATTATCCAACTTCAGATGCGACCCCCTAGCCAGCCGACAACGGCAGGTCGTATACGTAATCGTAACACTCGATAATTGCGTTATCGAATGCCAGTTTTAATACAATTTAACGTTGACTGTTATGAAATTAATATGCGGATGGATAGCTGCATCTGCAATGGGCCATCGCTTCGAATCCATTGGCCAAATGAATTATAGATTTTCCTGGTTCGCATACACATGTAGGTGTGTGTCATGTGTGTATACATGTGTGCGTGTATGCAGAGCAGGGCACAGAAAGATACAGGGAATGGGAATGAATGGGAATGGCCGCCCCATGTTCATGCCTGTCCTGTCCCGTCGTGGCATGCCCCCTCCATTCCCGAGCCCTGTCTGGGCTCCGGCACAAGGCATATCCCTTACAACGACAACAGCCATCGAACTTGGCTCAAACAACGACGACGTTTGTGCATTAAAAGCAAAGTCCTGTTGAAAATGTAGCACAATAAATAAGCAATTGATCTCTCAGCGTTAACGGCAGCCACTGTTCTCCTTTCCCTCATGTGTGTACGTGTGTGTGTTAGCTGGATTTTATCGAAGACTTGCCCATTAGTTAGTTAAGGGGGGTGAGAGGGGAGGTGCAGACCTAGACCTAGACCATTTCACGCTACAATCAACTTTGGACAAACAATTTTATAATTGCCTTCCAGCCGGGCCACAATTTGTATGGCTTTCAATTAACGCCCGGGCATGGCCAAAAGCGCAATCGTTGAAAGAAAGCAAGCAAGAGACGTGGCCAGGAGCCAGGAGCCAGCAGCCAGCAGCCAGGCGAACAGGAGCCAAGAGCAGAATGTACAATAAAATATTGGCATCGGAGTAACAATACAAAATCAATACCGATTAAACGACAAGCAGCCACGTAGTCGAGTCCGACAGTCCGACAGTCTGCCGTTCTGGCGTTCTGCCCAGGACTCCGATGGCAGGGCATGGAACGGCTTGGCTCTGGTTTTTTTTTATTTATTTATGCGGGCGGTGGGGCTACACTTCTTGATGTTGCAACATTGACGGCCCCACCCGCTCGCTCTCCCCACTGACAGACGCCGCTAATGTGAGCATGAAAAATTACCGCAAAAATATTTTATGCACACAACAAGAAAGGCAGATGGAGATGAATCCTGCCCCGAGAATATGCCAAAAAATATGTGCATATAAATGGCCCACATACCCACAACACACAATCCACAATACATAGTGGATGATTACAGCGAAAGATGATATATGTAGCGGCAGTGTGTATATCTGGCACAAAGCCAGACCCAACAATAATGCTGATGATGACTGGGGATGCGATGGGATGCGATGTGATGGTAATCATGCTGATGGCGATAATGATATTTATATAACAAATTATAATAGAGCCGATTAGAGGTCATCTCTCGCTCTCCCCATGATGTAGTTTGTGTTTACATTACAGCCCAGCAGTCCAGCAGCCCAGCATGCAGCATTTTCGCTTTTATTTCAATTGTTTTGGATCCAGACCTCGACTCAATTTCAAATATTTGAAAGCTGTCCGAAATATGGAAATGATAATGACGCGAAACTAGTTCGGTCGGATTTGATTCATTGACTGCCATTCGTGATTGGCAGATGGAACATTTTCTGGACAGCAATTTTCCATAATATCGCGCATACGCAGTGTGGAATGCGGTGCTGTTGGCAGGCGGGCAGGCCTTAGTAGGAATTCCATTATTGTTTGATGGCCCTGTGATATCTATAATTAAATTTTCAGGTCATGTCCCATCAAAAGGGTTAATTTCTCTGTCGAAAATCGTCCGAAAGTATATTGATTGAGGTCTAAATACGAACGCGAATAATAGCCAGCTTTAAAGCGTCCTCGTAGACGTCCTCTGATGGCATTACCTCAGTCGCGTTGGGGTGTAAGTGCTTGCTACATATGCAACAGACTGTCGCCCGCGATTGTGGGTACAATTATGGATTCCGTATGGACAGCCACCTGCCAGCTACCCCGTAATCGCGGCCGCGGACTGGCCGCAATGACGTCATTACGAATGGCGGCAAGTGCCACTCAGGGCCAAGAGGGACGTCGTCTACCAGCCACTCAACGAGTCATTTCAGTTCAGAGCTTGAATGAGAAGAGCCTGGCCCACGAACTGGCCAACTTAATTAGTATTGAGACCCGCCCGCTGCTCTCCTTGGGGCTTGGACTCTTGTAATACGTTAAGTGCAATTATAAATAGTCATCAAGCAAAGAATCCAAGTAGTTAAGGCGGCAGCAAAAGAAGTGGGACAATAAATAATGTGAGAAAAGTACAGCAGCAGCAGGGGGAAGGAGGAAAATCAATAAACAGGAAAAGCAAAAGCAAAAGCAGAGTCAGAAGCAGCTAAGGAAGAGGCAGGCAAAAGCGACCCAGAACACAGGCAAATATTTGAAGGCGTTGCTGAAAGTGTGACAAAGTTGGGAATGGAGAAAAGTGGCCCAGGCACACAAACACACACACATAGATACACAGAGAGAGAGAGAGAGAGAGAGACAGAGAGAGTGTGAGAGTGGCAGATACAGATACAAAGCGACTAAGAAATAAGTCCTTGTAGTTTTGGTCCCATTTTCTTGAAAGCCCCTGGGGTATTTGGCACATCATGACCTTGCCAGTCCTTTTTGATGAGTTGTCAATGGGAGCAAAGGGCCCAAAGGAACAGGAAAGGCAGGAACTGGTAAGATAAGTATTTTGGGGCAAGAGTGTTGCATAATATTTGCCCGAGGCCGTAATAGCCTGCAATTTCACACACACACACACACACACGATTTACACTCAATTTCTCGGATAGACGATTTTCATCTCATTTATTGTATCGTGTAATTTACATTTCGAAAAACAATTGGAGGCAATTAAAAGCGAATCAATCATTAAATTGAGTACAATATGCGTGGGTGTGTGTGGGGGATAACTTTTAATCGCATTCGACTGCAATCTGTTTTTGCGGTGCACCACGCGGTGGAGTGGGACTGAAAATTGATGCTACCATGGGGCCATAACTCGATTGACTTGCCCCTTAAGCCCGTTGTATCTGTTACCTGCATTCGGAAACTGAATTTGGGATCAAAGTTTTCTAAAACTCTGCCAAAATCGAGCACTTTGTAAGCACTTTTGTAGGCAACATTTTGTTTAAATAACATTTATGGCCAGCAGCAGTAGCAAAAGCAATTCAAACTTGCAACACACTTGATTTGCCAGACAGTACGAGTACCCATACACGCATGCTTTTGAGGGCAGGAACAACAGGCAACGGTTGACGGTTGACGGTTGACGGTTCAACCTCCCTTCACCTCTCCGGCTCTGGCTCTGGCTCTGGCTCTGACTCGGGGCCGAAACAACAGCCAAACATGCCGAGAAGGAGGTTCTGACAACAAAGCATAAATATTCATGGGAATAGTTAGAATCAGAGAGAGAGGGAGAGAGAGGGAGAGGAAGCGAGCGAGAGATGCCCATGGACAGATGCCTCAATAGAGGAGCATGTGTATGTGGGTCCATCTGTATGTATCTGCGTCAACTTCCGCCCAGAATGACACTTGATGATGAAGATTTTGTTGCTTTCACTTTACCCGCTCCCGCTCCCGCTCCTGTTCCCCGTTCTCGTTGCTGTGGGTCTGTGGGGCTGTGTTGCTGTTATCCTCACAGCCGGCTGACTTGATTGGCATAGACGGCAGACGAGTATAGAGACATGCATGCATCATAGTGGGTGGATGGATATGTTGGGGCAATACTTTTTATCTCCATCCATTCCGGCGTCAAGAGCCTGGGGCACGTGCTGTGTCGGTGGCTGTGGCGGCGGCAGACGACAAAAGGAGCAACGAGAGCAATCGGAGAGGTGCAGAGGTGTCAATGCAGCTGGCAGCCAAAATGGCAAACAGCAGCTGTCAGGCGAAGGCAGGAGGCTCCTCCATTAGGCACGCTCTTGGGTGATTATCGTACGAATAGGCATACCTATGAGCACACACATGAGCAGAGGAGGCACACAAATTGAGTAAGCCAGATGAAGCCAAAGTTCAGCATTAGAGAAGACTCTTAGAAGGATGAAGCAGAGCGAGAGAGCGCTAAGGAGGAGGCTGGCTAAGTCGTTGTCGTTGGAGAAAATGTCATCAAGCCATCAGCAGGAGGCTGCCATGGATCCATGGATCTGCCTAGGCATTCGCTAATGCTCGCTTTCATTGGCGCCTGGCAAAAGTTAAAAATTCAAATCAAGGCAAGGACATGGTGCACACGCACACACACACACACCGACACTGGGGCATGGGCAAAGAGTTTATCAGGGAAACATGAGTGATGGCAATGGCGGCTGTCATTCATGTTGCATACTAATTTAAATACTTTGCACGCGCAGGAGCAGCCTTCAGAGGCGGAGGCATACAGGGATACAGTGATACTGGGATACAGGGACACGGGGGCAAGGACAGTGCCAGTGCCAGCAGCAGTGCCAGTGCCAGTAAAGGAAGGAGGCAACACACACACCATCACGATCACACATGCGGTGCTGTTACCCATTTCCGCTTCTGGCAGCAGCAGCACAAAAGCCACTCCATCCCGTCAGCCCGTCAGCCCGTCATCCCGCCCCATGCCTTCAGGATGTGTGCCATGTTTATAGCCCCCACTCGCTCTCGCTCTCTCTCTCTCTCTCTCCTTTGCTGGGTATATCTGTCTATCTCTACCTTCTTTTCTCCCTCGTCCTCGCCCTCGCCCTCGCCCCGCCCTCTCTGGTTGTATGGAAACAAAGACAAGCAAAAATATTTTGCCGTTTTTAGTTGTCGCAAAAGTTTGCCCTGTGTTTGTGCTCGTTTGGATGTATGTATCTGTGGGAGTGGTACTAGACACGTGTGTGTGTGTGTGTTTAAGAGCTTTTGTTTATTGTGTATTTGTTTGGCATTTTCTTGCTGTCCGAAAAGAACGAGAGGTAACGAGAGATGGCCAAAAATGGGAACAAAGCACATCGAATGCCATGGGGAGAAATTACCCGAGAGTCGGCGGAGCAGGGTAGGGGTATAATTTTTATTATTGTTTTCCGCTCTTCCTAATCCAAATTACATTTTCAATCAGTATAGAATGGCACTCCACTATAACGAAGTGGGCACCCATTCTAGGTTTCTGTAAATTAAAGTACGGACACTATGAAACCCAGTCATAGATTGGGGATCCTAGAGTTATGGTTCGGCACAGAAATAACACACTCTTCAGACAAAGCACTTTCTGGCCTCTTCCATGGGTATTCATCGACCCATCGTGCAGCCGTTCCTCCTAATATCCAGCTTTGCCTTGTGGAATTTTTGTTTTTATTTGTTTTGTGTGGCTCGTACATATATTTGGGTCTGGCTGCCTGGAGGGGACGACGTCCATTGTATATACATAAATGCAAATTGTTATTGATTATGCTCCACATAAAACTATAAAAGACATACCAACTGTCACACACACCCATTGTGATCCACATTCCCATTCCCGGAGAATTACAGCCACATGCCGTTTGAACATTCTAGGATTTTGTTGTGCTCGAGGGTATGGGGGCCTTCCGTGTGTGCCATAATAAATTTTAAACATTTGCAATTTTTGACCCAGAACCTTTGCTGTTCCCCTTTTGGTCCCGGCAACAGTCCCTGAAGGGAATTTATGTTGAACAAATTCAATGCAATACGAATCGTAAGTATCGAGGAAGCAGACAGGCCAAGACAAACTATTTTCATTTGCACGCCAGTTTAGGCAGTAAACTGAAATATTACACATACGCCACGACAGCCAGAACGGCCCCATACTCGTAGAGGCAGTCGTAGTCGTACTCCTATAACCATAAATTCATTTTCAAATGCACTTTGACTGCTTGACTTTCCGCTCAGCCGAAGACGAAGCCGAAAGTTGAGCCCCTCTGGGAGTATCCAGGGTCATATATTATACAAGAGACAAAGACAGAGACAGAGACAGAGACAGACAGAGCGAACAGGGAACAGGTTGGTGGAAAAGAGATGGCGTGAATCGACAGCAGGAGCCTGTCATGCAGAGTTTGGCAAACAGTTTGCTTGCGGCTGCAAAACTCAAACAGTTTAGCAGAAACTTTTGCCACTGACATTTGCCCCGACAGCAGAAGTTGCCGCACAGCGCACAGCCAGCCCATGGGGCAGGGAGGCCTCCACGCCTCCACGCCCTCGTGGCTCCCCAATCCCCAATCGGTGACGCAGATACATAATGACTTTTGTAATTACTCCCCGATCCTCTCTGCCACTTGCTCCGCCATGCAATTACCTGCTGAATCGGCGGCTGTCCAACTTTTAATTGCTGATGCATGCAAAATCCAAAATCAGCGAAATCCGAGGAGCAGGCACTACAACAAACCGCAAAACACGCACCAAATTAAGTGCTCTACTCGTATCTGGGGGCTCCTACCTAGTAAATACGACTCTAAGAAGTAGGTTGTGCCAGAAGAGAGAGACATCCCCCTGAGTGGTTCAGGTGATTGCAGTTTCGTGCACTTCACGTGACGCGTGCAAATCTAATTTTACATTTAACTCGAGGAGCATGAGAAAATTGCGGAATGAATGAGGCGTGGCAGCAGGCCGCCAAATGCAAAAACTGTAAGTCTCTGCCCCGCTCTGCTCTGCTCTGCTCTCTGCTTTGCTTTGCTTTGCTTTTTGCTGCCACAAAATTAGGCAAGGCCATTATGAAATTATGAAAATGATGAAATTATGAAAATTGAAATGTGGCAGCCTCCGCTCTGCCAAAGCATGTGAAAAAGTGGAAAGAGAGCGGGACAGAGAGGGAGAGAGATTGCTGTGAAGATGTGGAAATTGATGGGGAAATGGGCAAGAGTGAAGGAAATTCAGTTTCACTCGTATTCCAGCTCATAAATTATTAAAATTCTGTGCAATACAATTACATATTCGCATGCGGGGATTAATTTTCTTGGAAATCATTTGCGTATAGATACAAAATTCATGTATATCTGGCAATAAGCAATAAGCTGCAGTCTTTTGCCAAATGAGGTCACAATGCGAATAAATACTGAAGCCAATCTTTTCCCAAAGGATCCAAAGTCAAAGTCTAATATTCATTTGAAGCTGGAACCGCTTCTGTTGCTGTTTTTCTACCCAAAGAGGCTTAAATAAAAACTTGCATTAAAAGCCAAGGCTCACAGAGTTTCTTAACTTTTGAGCCACTCACAGGTGGACTCTGGAAACTTTCGTGAAACTTGCAAGCCCCAAAACGAGGGCCACAAAACACCAAAAGCCGGGGTAGAGGTTGAGGCAGAGTGCGCTCATATTTCCATTCCCAGGCTACATCTCTGGCCACATTCGGATCCATGGGAGCGATATCGAGGGGACTTTAATTAAATAAACCGTAGTAAACCGCTGGACGGGCTTTTCATTCAATTTGCCATCGAATCCGGCCGCACTGCCGCTGCCACTGCCGCTGTACACCATGGCCGGTCCATGCCGGGTCGGGCCGCCAGTCAACACAACTTTTACGAGCGCCAATTAGTCGAATTAATGCTTAAATTTGATTTGTATTAAGCGCTCGAACAGTTGTGCCTAGTGTCTGTCCGGCTGCCCACCCATGTGCATCATGGCAATCTAGGAACAAGTGGGGCACACACACGATGTCCTTGCCAGCGCAATGTTGTTGCCGTCTCGTTAATATGCATGAGACAGCCCTGGAATGGCGAATATGTAGATACATTTTTTAAATAACTTATTCATTAGATACGAGGCGGGCCGACAAGTATAGGAACAGAAGCAGGCAGACCGCTCCTCCAAGACTGGGTGCGTGGGCGTAGGTGTGTGTGTGTGTGTGTGTGTGTGTGTGTGTGTGTGTGGCAGGATAAATTATTCGCTTTCAGGCATAACAAATTGCTTTAAAAAGGAGCCCAGCCGAGCCGAGCCGCCAACAAAGCTGCCAAAGATAGCACAACTTGGCAACAATTTAGTTGCCTTTTGTCCTCGTTGTTGCCACATTCTGCAGGTGCTGCTTTGTGCTTCCGACACAGCCCATGACACACACACCCAGAGACAGGCCCACTCATGTGTGTGGCGGGGGCGCGCGAGTCGCAGTCGCCCAAAAAAAGGACTCGCAAACAGCAAAGAGATGGAAAGAAAGATAGAGGGCACAAGATGAAAAAGTGTTACTTTGTGTCAAAAGGAAAGGCGCGTAGGAGGCGCTCAGAGCCTGATGAGGGCCCCAGCACACGGAGCAGTCGCCAAACTTTAGTGTCTGTGCCCAGTGGACGATGAAAACGTGAAGCAAAGGTGGACACGGACACGGACACGGGGCGAGCCCCAGCACAGGCACAGGCACAGGCACAAACACTGTGGGCTCGGCTGCCACATCTCGGCAGCTACGATTGCGACTGGGACTCCGAGGACGAGGACGAGGACGAGGACGATGACGACGAGCAGGGTCTTCGGGAGTCGCTCCGTTTCTGGCACATAATCATTTACATAATATACGTGAGCACAATCAGCACAGCCACAACCACAACGAACAGCCAGAGGAGGAACAACACAGCGACCAAAGCAAAGCACTGCCAGGATAATTTCACTCTCACAGGACGCGTTTTTTTTTTTTGTTGTTGCGTTTTTTGCTTTTTTGGGGATTATATGTGTGTTCGAGTGCGAGTATATACAAAAATATTGTTTCGTTTATATAACGTCGGCGCGCACATTTTCTAATTCATTTTACTTTTAGGATTTCGCGTGGCTCTCGATGTGGAGCCTCTGCCTCTGCCGCTGGCTCTCCAAGCCCCCAGCACCACCGCCGCCCCCTCGAACCCAACGGTTTTGCGTTGCCAACTGAGCGACGTGTGAGCGCGCGCGTTCTGCCAACGTTCTGCCGCGTTCTGTTTCTGGCCAAGTTCGTGGGGAGACTGAAGAAAATGGTTGCGACCACGTTTCGTTCGGCAAAAGGACACACAGCCCAGCACAGGGCCAGGGGGCCAGTGTGGGGGTATGACTCGAGTGAAAGCTGCACTTCGGGAAAGCTCGGCGAAAGCTTCGTGGGTTGCTTGAACAGTTGGCAGGAGCCTGCCTCGTCCCGGCGTGAAATGAGCTTTCTTTCTGTATAGTTTCACTCGAGAGAAAGCTCTGGCACCCACCTGGCCCCCACCTGGCCCCCACCTGGCCCCTCAACGCTTGTTGTTCTCCTGCTTATGCCAAAAACGCATCAAAGGTGAAGCTTTTATTTCTAATTTAGTCAAAGCAACTACGGAAAAAGTATCTCCAGCAGCCGCATAAAAATGAATTACGGACAGAGATACCCATTCTCGTACAAAGTTTCAGTTTCTGTAGTCTCCAGTCGCGCCAAAAATCGCTTGGGGCGACTTTTCGGATGAGCTCTCTGTGTTTTTTTGGGTCTTTTGGGGGTTTTTGGGGGTTTTTTGGGGGGGGGGGGGGTAAGCGCGTGCGAGGTCATAAAATCGGTGTTAATATTAATAATCTAGGCCCTAACTCGTGCCCGTCTAGTTGTCGGATGTCTGGTGTCTGGATTGTCTGCTTTAATTATCATCGGAGCGCATGCGAGGCCAATTAACCGAACCAAACTGAACCGAACCGAACCTCTAGTGGGGCTAATAACTCAAAGCCGACAACTCACCTTTGGGGTTATGTGTGCGTGTGTGTGTGAGCCAATCAGTTCAGGCGCTGCTGCTCCGTGGCCCAGCCATCATCGAGAACTGCAAAGAGAGTCCAAAGAAGAAAGAGATTCATTAGTATGCAGCCGCAGTAGAGTTCGAAGGGGAGCAGCCACCAGCCACCAGCCAAGAGCCGAGAAATCGTGTAAAAAACGCGTATGTCAATTAAAAGCCTATAACAAAGCAACAACTGAGGCCCCAGCCGACAAACGCTACACGGATGGGTACACGGATGGAAACACGGATGGATACACGTTGGATACACGACGAGAACCTCTGGCCAAGAGGCACAAATCAGCTCTGGGGCCTCAAATCGTTGCACGCAAATGCAAAGCGATAGGCGGCCAGGGAAGGGGAGTGGCAATGGGAATGGATTTGGAATTGGAATTGGAAGTTGAAAGTTGGGTGAGGAAAAGCCAGCGCACACATCAGGCAAAGGCCTTACCTTGCCCACTTACCCACACAAGTCACGTGCTGGCAAAAACGACAAAACACGCGCTGCCAATGCGCCGCACATGGAGTGGAGTATGGAGTATGGAGTACAGAGTGGATCGGTATGCTCCGACTTGTATGGGGCGAAGGGGGAACTCTCGGATTCGAGATGGCCATAAAAATGCATTTACCTTTTGGTGTTTGCTCCCACAGCGAGTGGGGACCGGGGGGGAGTGGCCAAGAGGAGCACTGCATTGAATAACCAAACGGAAAGGGAAATATGGTTTGGTCATTTGAATGCCTGAACCAATTGGGAGAACCAATTTTATTCATGGATATGTAAATCTAAGAATGGAAATTTGTCGAGTAATTTAACGGAAGAATTAAGGAAAGGAAGTAATCGAATCAACGAACGGAAATGTGTGTTGTTGAAATGCAAATTGGGTCAAAGTCAAGTTAATAAAGTTCAGGAATCATGGAATTTGGACGGGCTGCCATGACATCTGGCAAATATAATTGAAACACTTCCCCCTGAACTTTCACAGGCAATTATCCTGAGGTCAGGCTTGGGCTTCAATTACTTGTTGGGTGCCTCCGTGCAGTGGCAGTGTGGCAGTGTGGCAGTGGGTGTGTCTGTCTGTCTGTCTGTCTGTCTGCTTGTGGAATTGGAAACAATTAGCAGCAGAGTGTGCAGGAGATTTAGAGCGGAATGTCATAGCCCTAATTGCCCAAGAGCACATAAGCACACACAGAGAGGGTGCGAGCAGAGGGGAGGTGCAAAATTTAATGCCGGAGACATGCAAAAATTACACATCCTCAATTGCAGGAGCCAGACATCGTTGTCAGCCTCTCACACAAAAGCCCCCAAATTCAATAAACAAGGCGCTCGTGCGGGCCAGGACACCGACACGGACACGGACACCGACACGGACACACTCATTTGCCTCCTCCAGCCTACTGCTGGGGCCGGTGTGTGCAACGAGGCGTGCTGAGGTCTCTCGAGGGGATCTCGGAGTTCTAGTTCGAGTTCGAGTTGGAGACAATGTCGGATATGTGCGGGCGAGAGGCAGAAACAGCTTAGGCGCAAAACAAAATCAATTGCAGTTTCACAGTCCTGTCCGCAGCCCCTTGCCAACACCCCCCAAAAAGTAGGCAATATAAATTTGCCCACAGCTGCCATGCGTCTCCCACACACACACACACACACACACACACAGACTGGTGCACACATTAAGCCATTACTCTGCGCAGTGTCCAATGGCCAGTGTCCAGTGGCCAGAAAACGACGACAGAAACACCAACAACATTCATCCTGGCGGATTTTGGCCAAACCCCTGCGTGCTGGGCTGCAAATTCAATTCAAATCTACACAATGCCCACATGCGTGGGTTAAGCCATCAATTGCCACGTACGCCACTCTCTTCCGCATCCGCATCCCAGCCTCTCCTATTCTGTCCTATCCTCTCCTTTCCGCTCCTCTGGTGCACTGAAGTGTGAGACCAGCGCCTGCACTCCACTGCCACGCTCCATTGAACGGCCACATCCACATCGCAACCAAACGCAGAACGTATTTTGCCAATTACACATCGACCACCTTTGACAGTCCTGAAGGCCTGGAGAGCAGGGCGCCAGAGCAGGGGCAGCGCTGCGGATCTCAAGGTGGAAAATGGATGCTCGAAAACAATGGAGACTGATTTAATGATGCCACCGCCTGGACAGTTGGTAAGCTGATTCAATTAATGCATTTGCATCTCCTATGGAATGGCTTTTGGGTTTGTAGTACACTATGTTTGTGGCATCGACAAGAAAGCTAATTTATCACCACAGACTTTGGATGTACTTTAAGTAATTCAATTGGAATCCACCTCTAGTTCGGCAAGCCATTTCTCTACAGTCTTAAATAGTATTTAAACAGATTTTCAGGGAATTTGGAAGACTCTTGTCCATCCAATATTCAACAGTTTGCACAGCTGTCATAAGCGGAGCTTGGTCCTTCAACCCCCGCCAGCAGGCTGGCCGCAAAGTTCGTTGAACCCCTTCTTCCTCTTTCCTGGCTGTCGATGCGGCGCCGCCTAATGCATAATTAAGTGTGTGCCAGTGTGCGTTTTGTGTGTCTTTGAGAGAGAGGGAGAGGGAGAGGGAGAGAGGGGTTCAAGTATGCGTGTAACTGACGCCGCTGCTGGAGCTGCACCTTGTTGTTGTGGCAGCAGTGCCAGTGCAGCATGCAATTTACTGACACACTTAAAAGGGGTCCCGGTCCCAGGCCCCAGTCCCCAGTCCCCAGTCCTTCCCCTCCAGTGCACACAACTCTTAAAGCTGCAATCTCCGCGGCGATTCATTTAAAGGCCGTAAATGCCAGAGTCACGTTCGCTGGAGTCGCCGGCAAACCGCAAGCATCTGCTTTTCACATTTGACATTTACCAATGCGCCACCATTCCGTTTGCGATGTCATCGGCGGTTAACTATGCAGCAGGGGCAGGGGCAGGGGCAGGGCCAGGGGGCAGCTTCAGCGGCACTGGGCCCAACGGCGGTAAATGGATGGCTGGAGATTTGCGTTCACAAATCGCGCTTGACTTCCGTTCAACGTTCCGTTGATTTGCACCCGTCGCAGAGGCAGCGGCAGAGGCAGAGGCAGCGGCAGAGGCACAGTCACTGCCGCAGGGCATGCTTGTACTCGTACATGCATTACACAGTTACTCAGTGCTTTCGTTGGATTGATTTGTACCCCAGCTGCGGTTACGATTTTCTTCTCCCCATCAATCAGAGGCTGCAACATCATTTGCCTCATTATGCACAACAGCCACAGCAATAGCAACACAACAGCAGCAGAAAGCGCAACAACGAGGAGAAGCCACTCTTTAAAGTGGGTCAAAAGGTGATTTCCCCGCGCCTAAGACACTTTTTGTGCCGTTTGGCAAATTTCCAGCAGCGTCAAGGTTTTGTGGTTTGTGTGACAGAATCATTTGGTTGTGAAAATGCCAATTCCGAGTTTCCCATCATCGGCATCGGCATCGCCATCGCCACCATCACACCATCAGTATTCAGCAGTTCCTCCGATCCGATCCGATCCGTTGCAATCTTTTGGCTACCGGCTAAATTTCCATGGCAGGGGGCAACAACAATCGCTCTAAACTTGAACTTGATCTTGAAAAAACAAAAAACAAAAGCAAAACGCCTGGTTCCATATGCCTGGCCATGCATGCACTCATACGCCTATTCTCGCTCCACCCGATTATATCATATTTTCCTACGCATTTCCACTCCACTTAATAACAAATTATCTGCAGGGGCACTGCCACACTGTGTACTGTGTATCGTATACTGTCTACTGTGTGGCAGTGGCACTGCCAGTCGCGTGTTGTGTTTTGTGTTTTGTGTTTTGTGTTTTGTCTGTGCTGCGAGTGGATTTGGATTTTTGGTTCGTATCTTTTCAGCGCAGCTAAATGCTTCACGTCTGTGCGCTGTTGCATGTCGCCTCATTGTTGTTGCTGTCTGCAGTTTAGTTGTTGTTTTTTCTGCCTTTTTTGTTGGTGTGTATGTTAGCCGAACAAGCGCATAATTAGAGCGCTCAAAGTCGCGTAACACCCGTCCAAATGCCGGCAACTTGGCAGCCACATCGAGTGCTGCCAAATGAGCAGCCGTTTAGTCCGGATCGGAATGTACACATTTGTGTATGTGGATGTTAGTTGTTCTACCAGTACCAGAGGGTATTAGTGGGTATAATCCAGCTCCCAATTGCCAAAAATATTATGTTCCATGGTACATATGTACATC